TGGCAGACTGAATGCAGTTAGGTGCTGCAGCCACATGGCAAGAACTGGTACTGCAATAACAACGTCTCAATTTGCTCACAGACAACACAAAACTGTCTGAATTTGTAACTTACAAACATAACAATAATAATATTTACTGCAATAATGTGCAAAAGTCTTAAGTGAACAATAATGTTGATGTGATAAACAGAATGTCAGGAAAGAAATTCTGGTATTAATGTGATTCTTTGATTTAAGAATCAAAGGGTGGGATTGTATAGGAATTTCTTTTGCTTATGTATTAATCACATTATTTTATTGTATGATACCTTGGTGCCACTGGATTTTAACATGTCTCACACTCATACAGTAAGACAAATGATGGGGGTCTAGTAAGGAAGTTGGGGGAAGCAGACAACTCCACAGGAAGAATCTTGTGTCTCTTTGAGGACTCTGGGAAGTAGCAAGGGAGTGTGAACCTTAAGGTGTGAAACAGCTGTGTACTGCCTTTTGTTCCTGGAGAAGGTATTTAACTGAGAGCCATGCTAGGCTCAGGGAGACTCTGCTGACCGTCTGTCCCGCGGTCATGCAGGGACTTCATCAAGCTTGGTTGTCTGTTCTTTGTGTGTTTTGATTAAAGAATGTTAGCTACCGCTCACCGCTCGTCTGCAGGCTTTATTTAAATGGAAAACTTCCACAACAGGCAAAAAAAAAGCTTTTTGCTAAAAAAAAAAGAAAAGATTTAGAGCAGAAGTTTGTTGCACTGCATTTTAAAATGAAAACAATAGCATTTATTTACAATTAAAGACACAGAGCAGAAAGTGTGTTGCTGTTTTACATCCACAGACACACAAGAAAAGAATCAGGCAACATGAAGTCAAGTTATGGCAATTTTATTTTTGTATTTCAGTACATGTATTTAGATTAGAGTTTTTAAAAAACAAACAAACGTCCCAAGAAGAAGGATGGGGTGAAAGAAAGGTGGAGAGAGGGGGAAGGAGGAAGAAACTATTGATCTCCTCAAACTTGATGCTGCTGGGTCAGTTCTTTCTCAGCAGTCTGCTCCAGAATCCCCTCCTGTCCTCGGCTTTCTCTTCTTTTTGTTTTGCCTTCAGTTCTTTTATGGTTTTGTTGAGCTGCTCCTCGGCATCTTTAAATTTTTCTTTCAGCTGCGGTTTGGCCAGTTTCACTTTCTGTTTGAGGAACTCTTTAGCTTCCTTTTTGTGCTTTCGTATTTCTTTAAGTGCGTCTTTGCAGTCTTTCTTGGTCACCGCAGAGCCGGTCATTTCTTTCTTGAATACCTTCACCTCAATTTTCTCTTCTGCAAGTTCTTCTTGCACTTTCATTAGTTCCTTCTTCATGTTTTGAGTGTAACTCTTTGTATCTTCCATTTCTTTCTTTGCTTCCTGTATTTTGATTTTCTCTTCCTCCAACACTTTTTGAGCTTCCAACAATTCTTCAAATTTTCAATCTCATTTTCTGCCTCATGTTTATGTTTTTTCTCCTCTTCAAGTTGTTGCTTTACATGCAGTAATTCATTCCTTAGTATTTCAGCTTCAGCCATTACATTTGCAGCTTCTTGTGTTGCCAACTGCATTTTCCTTTTTTCCTCTTCAAAAGCTTCCTGCACCTCCTGTAATTCCTGTATCACATTTCCTGCCTCCTTCTTTGCAGTTTGATATTTATTTTTGGCTTCTTGTGCTGTGGTTTTCTCTTCCTCCAATGCTTTTTGAGCTTCCAACAGTTTTTTCTTCATGTTTTCATTCTCGTTTTCTGCCTGTTGTTTTCCCATTTTCTCTCCTTAGAGCCCCGGAGAGCAGCCAGTTGGCTTTTCTACCTTTAAAACCCTTCTACCAGCCAAATGGCTAAATGGAAGCTAAATTGGCTAGTCATTCATATGTTTATAACATGGTTGGTTATAACATGGTTATAACATAGTTGGTCATAACATGGTTATAACATGATTTGTTATGACATTGTTATAACATGGTTGGTTATAACATGGTTGTAACATGGTTGGTTATAACATGGTTGTAACATGGTTGGTTATAACATGGTTGTAACATGGTTGGTTATAACATGGTTATAACATGGTTGGTTATAACATGGTTATAACATGGTTGGTTATAACATGGTTATAACATGGTTGGTTATAACATGGTTATAACATGATTGGTTATAACATGCTTATGACATGGTTGGTTGTAAAATGGTTATAAAATGGTTGGTTATAACATGGTTATAATATAGTTGATTATAACATGGTTATAACATGTTTATAACATGGTTGGTTATAACATGGTTATAACATGGCTATAACATGGTTATATCATGGTTGGTTATAACATGGTTGGTTATAACATGGTTGGTTATAACATGGTTGTAACATGGTTGGTAATAACATGGTTGTAACATGGTTGGTAATAACATGGTTGTAACATGGTTGGTAATAACATTATTATATGGTTGGTAATAACATTATTATATGGTTGGTTATAACATGGTTATAACATTGCTGGTTATAACATGGTTATAACATAGTTGGTCATAACATGTTTATAACATGGTTGGTTATAACATATTTATAACATGGTTGTCTGTGAAGGTTCTCAGTCATCCAGGTCATCGTAGTCAAAGGAGCTTGCAAAGAAAAGCGTCTGGACTTCTTTAAGTTACTTGAAGACGTTTCACCTCTCATCCGAGAAGCTTCTTCAGTTCTAAGGTCAAATGGTGGAGAGTCCCAGATATAAACCTAGTGGGAGTAACCCCCCACAGAGGGACAAAAGGACCCCCTGATGATCCTCTAATCGCCTGAGCCAAGGTGTGAAACTGGGTGTGGGCTCCAATCAGCCAGAGTTTCGGGTAGGTTCATTGTGAAACCTTGCCCCACCTTATCATGCGAATTCCTGAGGTCAGATGGCCCAGGATGTGAGTGGGCGTCAAGGCGTCTGGGCAGGGATCTCAAAACTGGATTATAGATGGCAGAGATAACATGATTTGTTATAACATGGTTGTAACATGGTTGGTCATAACATGGTTGTAACATGGTTGGTAATAACATGGTTGTAACATGGTTGGTAATAACATGGTTGTAACATGGTTGGTAATAACATGGTTGGCTATAACATCGTTATATGGTTGGTTATAACATGGTTATAACATGGTTGTAACATGGTTGGTTATAATATGGTTATATGGTTGGTTATAACATGGTTGGTTATAACATGGCAATAACATGGTTGGTTATAACATGGCTATAACATGGTTGGTAATAACATGGTTATAACTAGAGATGGACCGATCCGATATTACGTATCGGTATCGGTCCGATACTGACCTAAATTACTGGATCGGATATTGGAGAAAAATAAATAATGTAATCCAATCCATTAAATATCACGAAAGCACCTCGCAAAACTTGCAACACGCCGTAACTCACCTCAGAACGTTAGCACGTCGGAGCAGTATGCATCACGTGATAGAGCGGCTGTGGCATGCGGGACCTGTCGGTGGTCTGGATAGCATTTGGAGCTTCGCTAGCAACCCGGCATTTCATCTCCGACAAAATTATCCCCGAGAGAAGTAAAGCAAGTGTGTAAGTCCATGTAAAGCATTCCTGCGTTAAGCTTAACAAGCGACTGCCTCTTCTTGCTGCTACTTCAATCATGAAACTGCTTAATGATCAGCTGATCGGCTTTTCTGTCGCGACTCCGTCTCTCTTGTTTGTTTTTTGCCCACTTTGCACCAGAAAGAGGAAACCAGCGGCTGAACAACAGCAGCACGTTTAAGCTTGATAAGCTGTTGTTAGAATTTATTTAATATTAATTTCTACACCAGGATCTTTTTCTACGTAGCTGACGCTGGTAACTGTGCAGGGGCGGATCTAGCAAAGTTTAGCCAGGGGGGCCGATAGGGCATTAACAGGGAAAAGGGGGCACAAAGACAGACTTTTCTTTCTTATTCTCATTTAAAATGTCTAGCTTTTAATAAATAATTATCTGACACCCAAAGTTTTAATTTGATGTAAAAGGAATAGAAGTCAATTACCCTAGTAAGCTATAGTACTTTTTCCTTTGGGAAGGTACCATCTGTGCAGTCTGCAATTTTGTTGAAGAAAGATGTTGAATCTATTTAATATTTCTTGAAAAATAATTGATTTCTGTGCATTTTTTTTTCCACACTGCATCAAATTAAGATTGATTACGTGGATTAAGCATCATGAGGTGGCGCGTGAGGGGTGGTTCCCTATTTTTTATTTATTTATTTTTGTTGTTACTGGGAGTTGGAACCCTATTAGTTAGGTTGCTTAATATTTACGCTAAGTACTCTTTAAAATACCAGAATAGGGAGGATGGTGTAGGTTTAAGTTTATTAGATTGATCAGTATTGCTGAACTATGAAATATTGTTTTTTGCATACAGGTATAACAGAATAGCTTTAGTGTAGTTGTTGTTTTAAACTTGAGTATGAACTTATACAAAATGCAGCAAGATATTTAAAAAAACAGTTTTGTTGATTAAAAAACACTATATCGGATTCATATCGGTATCGGCAGATATCCAAATTTATGATATCGGTATCGGTATCGGACATAAAAAAGTGGTATCGTGCCATCTCTAGTTATAACATGGTTGGTTATAACATGGTGGTAACATTGTTGGTTATAACATGGTTATATGGTTGGTTATAACATGGTTATAACATGGTTGGTTATAACATGGTTATAACATGGTTGGTTATAACATAGTTGGTCATAACATGGTTGTTATCACATGTTTATAACATGGTTGGTTATAACATCTTTATTACATGGTTGGTTATAACATGGTTATAACATGATTTGTTATACATGAGAGGTAGCAGCATCACCAGAAATGCTCTCAGCGGAAGGTTAAGAATACATTCTTATTGAATGTATAATTATAATGGAGTGATTCATCCAGACTTAAAAGGTTTGAGTCAGCAGAGAAAAACTATTTAAGCCATAACAACCCAAATAATACACAAAACCCCCACTCAGATTCATTTAAACAACTTTTATTTATTAAGTTTTTACAAATAAAGTAACAAATTTATTGTATTGTAGCGCAAAGCGCAAAGTTTTGTTTTTAATAAGAAGCTTGAACACTCTATACTTAGTGCAAAACATACCATTAAAGGCTGTCGATGACTCCTTACATGTATTTATTTATTTTTTGTTATTCTCTTTCATTCTTTCATATTTGTTTACTTAAAATCCGACCATGTTTGAACAACGTCAACCACGATACAGAAAAAGGAAAGCAATGAATTAAATTAGGAGCTGGTAGAGACAGTAAAACGGCACAGTGAGAATTCAAAAAAACAAAATGTGAGAGTGGAGAGAGACAAGAAACAAAATCGACATATTTTCAGCAACGCTCACAGAAACTGTTGCTGTTTTCAACACATCATTTCACAGGAGCAAGCTACATAAAACAGCGAGGAGTTGCATGTATCTGTGACTGTGGCTTTGTGTGTGTGTGTGCGCTGAAAGGCAGAATCTCTTTTATTGTTGTTTTTCTCTCTCTTTTGTTTGTTTTTTACATGTGGGCACTTCTACAGTGAAAAGCGTAAAGGGTAAGCGAGTCCTGAAGAGGCGAAAACTGGAAAACACATCAACAGGAAACTGATTCTAATGCAAGCGAGTTCAAACTATTGCTACACCGTGCACGCCTCTCCTGAAACACACAATCCTACTTTTCCACTTTAACTCGAGGAAACTTCACAATAAGAGTGCCTGTGCTGGAAAACTTTCGAGCCTTTCACAGTAAAATTCCTCCACGACAACTCCAAAACTTCACAATAACTGCACCCACTTCCAGCAGGGGCATAGCCGTCAAAACCTACTGTAATCTCAGTTTGATATTGATATTATTAAAGTGACAGTTTTAATACTGCATGCAAGGGCATTGCAGCGCAGCAGGTATTCCTTTTATTGTAATCATTGCGTAACAGAGAGACAGTAAAATATGACCAAACCTCAAATCTGCAGCTGCAAAGTGCAGATCCAGGATGATACCTGGCAAATTAAACAGCTCCAGTGAATTAAAGCAGGTAACTACGCCACTTTTTTTCCTCCACTGACAAAAACAAAAAATCAAATGGCACTGAGTTTGTGGCATCATTAAAGGTCTGACAGAATGCTTATATTGAGAACTCAGAAGCAAAGTGGCTCAATGACTATTCACAGCTTCAACCAAACTTGCCAAGTAGTAAAAAATGTCGCGTTATTTTTCTCGAGGAATATAACGAAAAAAAGATCTATGCTCTTTTGCACAAACTTTACAAAGTAACTTACACACAATCTGGAAAAAAGCAATGGAAAGATGCAAAGCTTTGAAGTTTGTACCAAATGTTTAATTTGTGTTACAGGTTAAAAAAACAAAACAAAAAAACAGTAGAGGGTGCCAGAGGCCTTGCACGTACTCCCTTAAATCCATCAATCATCATGACTGCCATCATCTCTGTCATACCTTCACTCAAAAACTCGTTAAAGCTGACTTTTATTTGTTGGTTTTTCAATTTCTGCAAAGACAGCTGACAACTGTGCTGCCTCGTTAATATTTTTGCAGAATTTTTATGGGTCCTGACAAAGTACTGCCTTGTTTTTCTTTATTCCTTTCTTTCTTCCAGCTAGTTACTTCCAACTAGTTTAAAATGTATCAGAAAAAGATGATGTCACAGAGTATCTATATGCACCAAACACTTTTTTGGCTACATTTTTTTAAAGTTGCATTTTCAAGTGTTAGGTTGCTGCTTATTTAGATATACCGAACCTTCTTTAGACTCGGTTTGACTAATGCATCTAATGCATGACCGGATCACAAGATTACAGCTGTTGTTTACCGTGTCTGAAAGTGTCCAGCTGACTGCTTGGCTACTTCCTGTATATGTGACTTTTGCTAGATAGTTAAAGGCTAGCAAACAAACACAGATAATTCATTTGTGACTTGCAAAGGAGGCAGAACAATAGGAAAAAGGACCTATACTGTACATCTTGCACTAGTGACATGCTTTCCTCTGAAGTCCTTGAGGGGGATGCATCAGGGCACAACGATATTTACACTTCAAAAGAAGTGGCCTGATGCACTGCAGACTACCTCAGCCTATCACAGTGTGCCTTGGTGGTCCTTTTTATATTTAGTGCCACATCCACATGTGATCTGATCCCTCCAGATACATTTTAACGCCAAGTATAAACAGATTTCAGACATACCTAAACAGGGCCATTAGCCTGCGCTTCTCACAATATTTCAGTAAACCCAAATTATTCTGACAGTAGAGCACGACATCATGGCCTATATCACATTCCTGGTTAGCTCTGATGGTCTCAGAGTTTCAAATCCTGACAGAAAGCTAAAACGAGTCTTTAATATCAGCTGATCTCACGTTAAAAAGAACATTATGTCACTGTACCACGGCATGCTCTCCCCGCAAGTATGCTGCACTCGGGTCAAAGTACAGAGTGGTCCAAGCTTCGAATACAATCTTCAATAAACTCCCTCCTTAAAACTGAAGAAAAAAAATATATATACAGCAATAGAAACAACACTGATAACAAACGGTTGCCTTTCTCCGTCTCTGGACGTCAATCTCAACCTTCGTTCAAACGGCAGCAGAGCATTTCACTCCAAATTTCCCCATTTTGCAAAAAATACACTCAGGAGGAATCATCACAAGCCGGCCTAAACGTGCGCGCACATATACACTGCAGGCCTCATCCGCTAAACTTCACAGCAACAACCTTATATCCTCCACAAATTCTGTCCAATGTGCTCACTTTAACCTCCAATGGAGAAGCAACAGGAAGGAAGCAAGGCACTAGTTTAATACCTCCAGCCATCACTAGAGGCTCTAGAGGGGTCAGGGGGAGCGAAGACAAGCAAAAATAAAAGACAGGGTTTTTTTTTTTCAAGTACATTAAAAATGGACACCATTGGTTTTTATACATTCACATTCATCTAACAAAACCAGGGGAGAAAGGGAAGAGGAGGGCTATTTAAAGTGTCTGATAGACAAGTACTGTATTAAGAAAAAAAATAGCTAGCTTTACTTTATTATCTAAATATCGACTATCCTGGCGTTCACGCCGGTTTGTCTTTATACTCAGGTCAGTTTCGGCTTTCAATTCACCCAGTTTATAGAGATGACCTGAAAAAACGGATTGATTAGTTGTTGGTAAGGCATTGGTTTGGAAGTGTGTCCTCAGTAAACTGACAGAAGGACGCTTATTGGAAAAAAAGAGAAAGAGAGAGAGGGGTTACCGATCTCCAAAAATTCGTTTGTGGAAAGCTGTGAATTGAAAGCGAAAGGACCCCGAAAAACTATTCTAAATATGCTTTTTTTTGTTTTTAAATTCACCCTAAAACTAATGTTGTCCAACAACATTTGCTAATAACAAACAACAATAATCACAGTGTCTCCACATCATACAGCGATGTGCACATATAACAGGTCCATTGACAGAACACGGTTTTGTTTTTTGTTTCTTTTTAAATAGAACAATCATTAACAACAATAATTATGACAATAATGTACATTGCATTTCAACCCAGATATTGAAAACGACCTAATTATGACACTAAGAACTGAGGCACGGCCCATGAGTCTGACAGCTGCTACACCTCCAACTATGCGTGAGTGTGTTTACATGAGTCTGTGAATGACTGTATGCGGCTTTGTGTATTTATATGAATGTCATAAGAGTTGCGTGGGTGTGTGAATGTGTATGCGTCAGATTGCTAGCTGGGGTGGCGGTAGGTGGGTGGGGCAGGGGGCAACAAGGGAACCAACCCGACGACACACACAAAAAAAATGGAATCATCATAGCAGACATTCGAAAAAACAGACACGAACTATACATGGATATTATCTTGATAACAAGGTCACTTTTACACACTGAGTTCTCTTGTGTTCGGGCTTTTTTTGTCCTCTTCTAAAAGGTTTCTGCTGTTATTGCTTCAAATTGCAACAGGGAGGTGAAGAGAGAGGGACGAAAGAAGTCATGAAGCATCTGTTCTGCCCGTTTGGGACCCCATCGACATGAAGTGAGCTGAAACAGGAAGCTGATGGAGGGCTTTCCCACTTCCATCTCTCTCTACCTGCTTGAATACTTTGCCACACTGAGCGGTGGGGAGGGGGAGAAGAAGACGGCGGAGATGCTGGGCTACATCTAGTCTCGATATGTATTTGATTTAATCTTGACTCGCTTTGTGCTTTTAAAGGTTAGGAAGGCTCTCCAACTTCCAAACGACTTCCTGAAACATTCGATTAGAGTTATGCGGACTCGTCTTCTGCTCTCACCTCACCCTTCTATCTGCTGCCATTTGCATCTCCTCCTGTAATCCTTTGATTTAAGGATGCTAACTGCTGTCAGAAACACTGACGATTTTGATTCCTAACGCTAAGCAACAATATCTGTTAATGTGAGGACTAGCAATGCTCACCCCCAATGGAAGAAATGCATATTTGCAAGTTTTTTTGTTGGGATTTCTAGCAGAGACTGATAAACATGGATAGCAGAGGCCTTAAAATCAGTACCAGCAGGAATTGATGAGAAGGTACTCCACGGACACAAAGGCTCAAGTTGGATTTTGTAAAAGCTGGCTACCACATTCTTCCTCCTCCTGAGCCTGATGTAATGTCGTCTGTCTAGTAAGCACGGCTCACTAACCCATATTATGTAAAGATATGTTAACTCATGTCAGAGCGTGAAATCCAACAAGTGTAAACCAGCCATTAGAGCAAACATGCAGACAGTTATTGACAGCAAGCCCACACACCCTGTCAGAACCTCTTTGGCCTTTTATCATTGTACTCTGAGTCTTTTTCTTTTGCTACAAGCCCACAGCAGAAAGGCTGCACTGCTTTTCTCTGAAGTGCAGCCTGAAGTGGCTTCTCATGCACACGCATGCCTACCCCCGTCTCAACCCCCCTCTCCCAACAAAAGAAATAAAATCAATCACACTTTCTAGTCAATCCAGCGATGAACACTCCACTTCACACCAGTCCTCTCAGGCCGTGATTTAAACCGGCCCCGACTCTGAGCCCTACGTGGTCCTCAAGTTGGGTCCTCCCGGGTTACTGACTGATTTCTGCAGGGTATTGGTCACATGGAAAGCTTGGAGTGGCCCCTGGCCTGGAATCTGGCCCTGTGGCGTGGGGTAGGGGCCCAGGGGTTGGGAGGTACTGACCAGCAGAGGCTGTGTTGGTGCTTGGTGTGGGGTGGACAGGCTGTGAGCCGGACCAGACCATTGTGCACTATAGGCAGCAGTTGGGGTGTAGTGGATGAACTGGGGAAGCTGGGGTTGGGGTGGAGTGGAGGAGGCAGGAGGGTGGCATAAAGAGCCCTTTCGGGCAGCCAGAGAGGTAGCGGTGCTGGAGTTTGTTGGGATGTGGGCTGAACCACCTATGCTGCTGGGACACAGCTGGCTGGGAGCGGAGTACTTCCTGCCCAGACTGGCTGACTGGATAACCTGCAGGGGAGGAGAAACGTCACTCAAAATTCAAAATTAAGCATTTTTCTCTTAAATAATTTGATTCTAGTTCCCTGTGCTAGGTAAAGATGTCTTTCAAGGAGTTAAAATTAAAGAGTTATTATTAACCAAGCCTGCTTAAAATGTAAGTTAAAAAAAAACAACCCAAAAATACAGCCATGCGACATTTATCTTAGCTAAACAAACTGTGTTATTCTCTGCACCACCAACACAGCAGATTTGCTTCATGTCAGGTGGAATTTAATAATTAAATAACCAAAACATTTTTTTGGGAATTTGCATGTCTGAAAAGTAAAAAGTATCAATTTGAAAAATCAATATCACATTGTAATATAATAACGTGTAAATTTTACTGTGTTTTAAATGGCACATGATGCAAAATAATGCATTTTAATTAAACACCAAAAGATCAGTTGTTAAGGGAATACAATAGCACATCATCCAGAAATCTGGATGTAGTAAAGCAGGCAGGGATCAAACAGCTTTTTGTGTTTTTTCTAAGAGTTTAGTGCAGAAATGATGCGATGTGGTGTTTTTTAATATTAACCTCATAGCTGTGTCCCTGCACCGGAGCCTGCTGCAGCTGTTTGGCACTCCTCTTACCCTGAAACAGTTCAATGTTTAATTTACTGTACAAACATAATGATGTAATATATAATTAATCACAAAAAACTGCTTCCATGTCCACTGATAACAGAAAAAATATTTGTCATGTTCATGACCTTTCTCTTAAGATTAACACTGCAAGGCACAAAGTTATGGCTAACACTTTTTGTATACATCCAAAAGGCCTTGGATCAGGTTTCTTCAACAGATCAAACACATTTGCATTTCTAAAAAGGAGGTTTCAGAGTTTAAGCTCTTTCCTCTCTGTCTTCATATCTAGTGAACTAACTATGGGACCTGCTGAGTCACTGATAAAATATATTTTTCTTTGATATGAAAACTCTTGCTATGTTTTAAAATATACATTCAAAAACAGCACTAAACCTGTGAGAGGTTCATGGCATCTCTGGCCCAGTTGTCCACCAGTTTATGAAGGTCATCGGTGAAGGTTCCTTTCCTCTGGTGTGGGGCTGGCATGTTGGGGGCCAGACACTGAGAACCCCCCTGGCTTTGACCCAAACCACCTGAACCGCTCACTGCATTGGTGCTATTCGTCCCTGAGAGTCAAGATAGACACAAGGGAGGAGGGAAAAGAGCAAATAGTGTGAGATAATGTTTAAAAGGTGAGGCAAAGCTGATGTTATCTGGATGATTGTGATTGGCGGCAGGCGGCTCTGTCTTAACCACAAAGGGCAGACAGAGGTTGGTCAGGTCAGGAGGTTTAGGGCAGCTGAGCATGTCGACATGGTCACAGAACTGCATTGTTTAGTTTTAATGATGGAGATCATGATGATAAACAGGAATAAGAGACAACTTATGATAGCAGAGGAAGGGCACTTTGGCAGTTAGGATAAATGCTGAACCCTTTATAGTATATATATCTTATTTATAACAAGGAATCAGATCACACTGGACAGCCTGTAGAGCATTCAAAATGCCCCTGCAGTGCACCTCTTAACTCTGAATACATTTCCCAGACACTAGATGGTGCTCAAGCTCTGTATCAGGAAGTATTATGTGTTTTTTTTCCCCACCCACTACCAAACTTAATGCAGACTAAACTCCAAAAAAAAAGCACACACTGCAGGCTGGCTTTTTGGCATCTGTGTGTTCCCCATACCGTGCTCAATGATGGGTAATGACAGGGCTGGTCTATCAGTCCAATAGGAAACCACCAAACACTGGCTAGTGAAATAAGCTCTTTGCTACAAGACGCTGCACACTCTGCTGCTTCAAACAACAGTTTCAAGTCCCTTAATTCTGGATCCCTTATACTGCAGACAAGTCTTTGAGAATACAGGTTTATCTTTTGTAAATATGCAATTTTTATAAATAATTTAGGTCTGTGGAAGAGAAGATAAAGATTCATTTATAAATGCTACGAGGAAAACCATAAAGATATGAAAAGCATATACACATACTGCAGATAGATCATGTTTTCTTATGTTTTAAACATCCCCATAACTGCACATTACCCTTATAATCACACGAAGCTGATGCACTTCCTTTGCATACAAGATCATCCCAAAGCCATGCCAGCAGAATGAGCATGGGCGTTAAATATTGACATGATTTGTTCATATCAGATATTAAATGAGAACAGGCAGAATATGCAAGGATTGTCAAGGATTATACAGTTGGTCTGACAAAAATAAATAAATCAATAAATAGAAATAAACTGTCATGTCATGCTAAACAAAATGGAGGAAAATAAGAATGAGGAGACGCTGAGTCATGAACGACTGCAGCAGCATGGGATTCTGGTCTATGTAGTCCAAGCCAAAAGCCATGGTGAAGGCTGAGAGGAACGGGAGGGGCAGCTTGTATGTGTTAGTGTTTGGCACATTATATGCGTGTGTGAGAGAGAGGGAGAGCTTGCAGGTGCATGCGCTGTCAGTTTAGATCTGTTAAGGCTACACACTTCAGTTATTTCAGCCCTCAAACTGGACTTTCCCTGAAACGCCATCATCGAAACTGCAAAGCTCGTCTTAGCTGAAATAACTGAAGTTAACGGATCTCAAATCTGGCAGAGGGTCGGAGCTGTAACCGACAGGGCGTCAGAAGGCGGGAGGAAGCGTGGGAGAGCAAGTGCAAGGATGGAGGAGTTGGTATGGATGGAGGGAGGGAGGAAAGACCAAAAAGAGAGATAGTTACTACAGAGCTGGTTGCAGGGGCAGACTTTTTTCACCATCTTCCCTGTGCGGCCGGAAGACAACAATTGGAGGGATCGGGAGAGAGTCAGAGTTAAGCCCCGCCCACAACACACAACAACCAAACACAATGCACATTGTGACAGGTATAAGCATAATAATGTGACCTTGAAACAAACAAGACTTTGGTGTTGAGCTGCCCAGGAACATCTTAAAAACCTGTCACACAATGTAACATGTCCCCAGAAACACAAAGCAAATAGTGGAGGAGACTTTGCCCCTGATTATTATTATTATTATTATTATTATTTAATGTACAACCACACAAATGAGTAAAGCATTTTCTGACAATGGTAAGATACACAGACAATTTTCTGCAGATATGCAGACCTCAGTCGACAGTTACTTTTAGCCCAGAGGTGAACATATTATTTAACCAAAGCTATTGACATTGCTTTACTTTCAATTTAATAACAATATCAAATTTCAGATTTGCCTTTGCACACAGCCACATGTGCCATAAATGTGTACTGTGGCTTTAAGATGCTTATGGGCAAACCAAAACCTGGTTTCACATGTGATTCTGATACTCTCTGCAGCTCACAGGGCCTTACCACACCTGGGTCAAATATTGTAATCGACTTTGATTTTCAGACTTTCTATAAACAGGGTGGGATTTGTGCAAAAAAGGATTCTGGTTTTAAATTAATGTGCAAAATTCTCAGCATCACGTTTGTGCTTTCAGTCACAATCCAATCAATCCTAATGATACAAGCAAGACTCAAATCTATCTGTGCATCAACGTCACTATTTAATATGAAATAAGCTAAAAAATTACTGTCAGTCTAAAGAATTGTTAGGCTGAATAAATATTCTGCTGCAGTACAATCCTACGTCTCAAACTTAGACAACAGCCTGCTTTAATGACTGACTTAGAGCGGCTCTTTTTACACAGGAGTGCACCTACTACTTTCTGTCAGCCTATCATAGCAGCTGCACCACCACATGTGAGTAACGTCTGCAGGATGTCTCAGACAGCGGCCCCATGCATAGCTGCAGTTCAACGAGATGAACGAACATGCGGTGCTTTTTGGCTCAATGAAAAGCCCGCCCCATGCAGTGAAATTTCTACTTAAAAAGACTGCAAGCACTGAAAGTGAAATCAGCTCCCCATTAGACTGAAGTTTGTGCTGTAGACTGTTTCAAAGTGCAGTGATAAAAATGAGAGGGATGCATAAAATCACACCCTGATTATAAGCAAGAATTTGAATCCAATTCTAGACTTTTTAAAACTATGTTAAGGAACAAGAATAACTCGAGTCCACTAAGACCCAGGTATGCCTCTCTCCACTCCTGCTGATGCAGCGACATGGGGACGGCTGAGCGGGCGGTAAGGACACCGAGTGAGGAAAGGAAAGAAGGAAGGGAGAGACAGGGTTTGAGCTGCAGAGGGTTCAGAAGCATTCAGAAACGTCCCTTAAGCACAAAACATTTGAGCATTACAGATTAAGGTTTAATAGAAACACTTTATTAAGAGTAAAATAGAAATCAAGCTTTGAAGTGTGCTTAATTGATGTAAAAACAAACTGCTTATTTAAAAAAATTAAAAACGCATGAAAGAAAAGCTAAAATAATCAACATGTCCGTCCTTCGCTATTTGGAAATAAGGGTTAGAAATGAAAGCAGTCAGGATTTGAAATTAATACCAGCAGACAACCGAAGATGAAATCGATCAGAGGGAGAATGTTTGCAATGATTATTGTTAGGATAGAAGCTTATTTGAGCTTGAATAACGTCACAAAGAACGTTAGTTACAGGTCTAAGTATAAATGTACAGGATTCTCCAGCTGCTTGTAAAATCCATGTTTAGCTGCTGTATTCACTAGCTTTCCCTTTAAAGCCCTTTAAAGCCCGAATCACAAAATAATCGCCAGAAAATTCAAGCTTTGTGAAAATGAAGTGTTTAGTGAACTTTGTGAGGGAATTAAACGATGTATAAATGATGAGTTTTAATTTGTATCATATTTGCTACATCATCCTTCAAAGTTAATCGTGCAGTTTATTTCTACATCATCACACTGATGATCTAGAAGACTCAAAAACTGACAAAAACTTGTAAACATGTATCAAATATGATACAGTTGACTTTAAAGGGTCAATTCAAATGAAGCCGTCATCCTTAAGTTTTTCCTCCTAAATTCTCGGAAAAACTAACCAACTGCTATCATGCAGCAAACTTTATCGCAACAGCATAGATATGTTTGGTCAATCGGCTCTTCTGCTGTATTTGCGACGGAGCAGCGGCAGTAGAAGCTAGAAGCTCTAAAATTGATTTCTGCGGTATTAATCTGCAACATATTGTCATCAATCAAGCAGGACTGATAAGGGCTTTGACCAGGAGCCGTCTAATGAAACTTAGTTCCCTGCTAATGCTGTCAATTTCTGATTCATTGGATTTTTAGATTTTTATGACCCAGAGCCACAGTACCGGATTTTTGATTAGAGACATGGGCTTGTTTAAAAATGAAAAAAGCCTCAGTGTCACTAACTCAGTGTCTCTTTTGATCATTTCAGGGCCTTCACACTGCATCTTCAGACAGTGAGAAACTTTCTGTCATTTTCAGTCATTTTGACCTTATTATAGTAAAACGATTCTTATTTACTATAGCCAAAAGGGCGCAAGGAAGTTAAAAAAATAACATTTTTGGCAAGGAAGACAAAGAAAGAAACAAGATTACAAATGAAGAAATAGTATGTAAAGATGACTGCCGCAAGATCTGGGTGTGAAGAACTATCACTGTCTGAACATTTTGCGTCCTGCAGTAAGATCTTATATTGTTTACTTTTTTTATGCACCTACAACCTTTTTTAAGGTAAAAACGTTGTTTCTGCTTGTCTGTCTAACTAAAATACTCAGGTTTCAACTTCTGAAACCACAAAGTTTGATGTTCATGTCTACTCAACTGACTTTGCGTGTTTGTTTTTTTGTAAATTTAACAGATTTCTGCAGAGCACTGATGATATCAGAAGGAGCGGGTCTTCCTCCACCAAAGAAGAAAACCCACAGGAGAGGATGACTGTGACTCGACGGATATATGGGGGGGAAAAATTAAACAAAAGTAAGTAAAGATAAAAGAGAAGAGCAAAGAAATAGAGCGTTACACACAAAGAGCCAAGCAGGGCGTACTCAGAAAGCGCGTCCTCCTGCCGCCAGGCTTGAAGGCCAAACGCTCCGAACCCCAGCTGAACTTTACACAGCCTGAAGAGAGGGAGGAGGGAAAGAAGGGGAAGAGAGAGGAGATGAGGAAAGTACGGAGAAGAGAGAGGTGAAGGGGAGGAGAAATGAGAAGAAAGGAGAGCGATAAAACCGAAGAGAGAAAATTGAGAAAAGACACGATAAGAAGAAGGAAGAGAAGGAAAAGATGAAAAGAGACACAGTTGAAGAATACACAGAAAGGACACTGAGTTAGCCCTCACAGTTTTTTTTTCTCTCAACAAAGAACAACAGAAAGAGATGGGAGATCTTGTTGTGAGTGAGTGAAGACAAACCAACAGCATGCATTTGTCTTAATCTGCATGCGAAGCATCCAATAAGCTGTTTGTGTGAACTTTTAATGCTGCGGAGATGCAACGAGGCCCGGGACTCTCAGCGGATGCATACCTGGGGTGGGAGCACACAGGCTGGGCACAGAGAGCGCCGCCTCGCTGGTGTAGGCTGAACACAGGTTGTCACTGGAGGGAGAGGGTTTGAGGGGCTGGAGCAGAGTGCTGCTGTTCGAATCGGCTAATCCTCCTGGGGCTAGCAGAGCCAGCTGGCCGGGGTACATAGTCGGGACGCTCTGGGCGGATAGAGTGCTGCCTGAAGATAGCAGAAGGCATGGGCAAGAGGAAGGAGCAGGCCAGGACCAATCGCAGAAAGCAGAGAGACACGCACAAACACACAAACACAAAGGTAATGGATAGTTAAAGAGACCCATTTACCCAGACATTTACAGAGACACGCCCCCACACACAACCACACAGAGAAAAACAGACGGAGAAAGCAGTCAGAAATGTTCAAGCTCCGAGCCTGATCCCACGTGCAGGTGTACACAAGCAGATAAACACACATACATACATGTGCACATGGATGCATAAACACAGAGAGGATGCAATGTTAGCGAAAGGTTTTTGAACCGTCCTGGCTGTAGTGGGCTTAGGGTTCAAGATTAAGGTCGTTCAGGGTCAGTTCAACCAAATTAGAAGAACACCTTTTCATGCTCTGGTAGTGTCAGTATTTTCAAGTTTGTCTATTTTGTTAATAGAAACTAACTATTTTCACATGTGTGTGGGAAGGAAATCGTTTTTTGAATGAACTGAGCCTTTACATGTGTTCATCTTTTCACCAAAGCCTACCTGGCTGTAATGGACTCTTGCTGCTGGTTCTGGACGATTTCGATGACTTGCTTTTGGTGGGCCGTCTCCTCCTGCCAGTCAAGGTCAAAACAGGAGGGATCGCTGAAGGCGGAGGAACCTACAACGCCAAAAGGAAGAATTCTCACATTCCGTTTTTTTGTGATGCTGCCTTAATTGCAGTTTTTTTGTTTTTTACTCGCTGGTTACCTTTCCCAGCCTGGTGAACAGACGGTCTATTTCCTCCTTCTGGCGGGATTGAAGTTCCTGAATCTCACGCATGTGCCTGGTGGGTGAAAAGTAAAATAAGATATATAGAAGTAACAAGAACGGAATCATTCTTGGAAGGAAAAGGAGGAGAAGAAAAGCGCACGAGAAGGAGAGAAAAATCAAGTTTTTCAAAGCCATTAACCTTACTAAAGAAGCAAAGGTGGACAATAAAACAAAGAATAGACGTGTGAATCTATTTTCCACTTTAAGAAAATGAGAAAGGGATAACTCACTTCTCTCTGAGGCGAGTGACTTCCCGTTTGAAGTCCTCATCCTCAAATTCCGAGTCATTGTCACTGCTGATGTAGGAGTTATTGAAGGAGTTGTTTAGACTCGGCAGAGAGGCTTTATGGGTAGAATCTGGAGTCAAAACTTGGCCAGGATCGCTGGGTCCATTAGCAGCTTTGGCAGCAGGTGGAGGACTCTCCTCCTCAGCACGACTGACTGAGAATCTACCAACGCAGGCCTCGGGTTTAGGAGAAACCTAAAAAATTGAAAATATGAACAAAACAACAAGAGGAGGGGAGAGAATTAAAACTGGGAAAAAGGACAAAAGACGAAAAGGAAAGGAGGCGGCAGAGAAAATAAAGTGAACGATTACCTGAAAGCGTCCTATGGTGGTGGTGGGCGGTTTGGGGGAGGGGCAAGGGGATGTTAGAGGGGAGGGGTGGTGGGATCCAACGGGAGTCTTGTGAGGGGGCCCGTCCACCACGTCTCCTGTTTTTCCTGCTCCTTCCGCTTTCAGAGGCAACGAGGAGTTTTTGTGCAATGTGTTCTCTGGGCTCGAGAGAGTAGAGGATGATGAAGAAGATGAAGTGGAGGAGGTGGTGGAGGAAGACTCGGTGCAGGCCGGTCGCTGGACAGCGGGCTCTTCGATAGCCCGTGAGACCTAAGCATCGAAGAGAAACGTGGAAGAAGGCTATGAGACAAAGAAACACTTGGATCCTACTTATCAATTGGGATCCAGCGTATATTCATTATGCTAGCCTTACATGCAGACGGTATTCATGTGCGGTGTCTCGTGTTGAAGATCTTTTACCTTAAATCGTCCTAATTGAGTTTGAGGGGGATGAACAGGAGAGGACAAAGTTTCTTCCTCCACTGGAAAAGGAACTGAGGAACATATGATGGATACTTTAGAAATCACACAGATACAAAAATATAACATTAGGATTTGGGTATAATCGAACATACCTGGTTGTCCAACTGAAGCCACACTAATGTGGGAGGCCTGACCGCCCACAGAAACAGTCTCTGGACTCAACGCTCTCCTTAACTGGGCATCCAAGTCCTCCAGAGGCTGCTGAGACTGAAGAGGTGGGCAGATAAACTGTTAGACCATGCAAGAACAAAAACCGTGCAAAAAGAGGCAGGCTTGGCCACGCAGGTTTTACTAATAGCTGTTGATTAGCAACATAAGCACAGATCAGCCAACTGAATCAAACATTTCAGTTGATTTTAAGATTTTATGGATTAAAGCAACACCAAACTCCAAGCTCAGCTAAACTGATTAATTGTTTAGTGCTGCTCCGCTGTGAGTTAGACTGCAGTCTTAGATCTGCAGGCAGGTTCTTGCTGAGTATCTGGTTCGCATTTGGCTTCCTTCTATTTTGCAGCTCGCTGCCTGGAAAACTAAGAATTGCATAATCAAGGCCATCTTTGTAATCACCGTTCATGTATGCACAATCTTGGACTTTTTTTTCAGTTCAATTATGTTTTTTAGTCTTTATTTTCTGCTTTTATGGTAATTTTGTTTTCAGGGATGGAATATTTGTTTTATATAGGTAAGCTGGTATTCTAATAGTAAAAGGAGACTGTTGTTTCTATCAGCAGCAATTCATATTTCCAAGCAAAGCTCAACTCTGGGACCTTGCTGCTTCTTTGCACTCATACATGGAAAGTTGGACATGACGAGAGCACCAGCAAAACCTCCCATATGGAACAGACAACAGATACGGCACACTGATTAAGTCAGACACAACATTAAAAAGGGCAGGTTTGCTGGAGAGGGTTTGCAGCGGTTTGCAGATTTACTACAACCTTTGGAAGACTGAAGCAGTTTATATGGTGCAGCCTATATAAACTGCTTACCAATGATGTTACTGATGTGTAGCTGAGTCAGCTGAGCCATCATCTGGTATGCAATGAGCTGGATCGCCCTTGTGTGTGATCTCATAGCCCACCTGAATATACACCATGCTCCATTCTCTTTGTCAAGGATTTTGTAACACTGTTTTATAGGGTGCAATATCATTGAAGTTTATTTTAAAAATCCTCTAGTCTAAATGAACGTTTCCAAGCAAACTGTAATTAAAATACTTCCAGTTATACCATCTGACTAAAAATGCAAACTAACCTCTGGTCCAACTGGATGCTTTAACCATCCTCAAAACTTGGCAAAGCATACAAATTAGGACCAGTTAAAGTCTAAAATTTGTCATTTTTAACACCGTTCCTCACCAAAAAAAAAAAAAAAAAAAAAAAAAAAAAAATAAGATTTCTCTCCTTCGCCAATGAACAATGTGATCCAGAAGCTGCGCAAAGCCATTCATTCTCGAGCAATTAAACTACAATTACAAAATAAATAATTAAAAACAAATCCCAAGTGAACTTCAACGACAGCAGGATTATCTTAATCAAACGAGACATGTCTCATCCAGGAGACTTACATAAGGGACGGGATGTTGTATCCGGGCAGATCAGATTGTTTTAGATGTCACATCTCTCTATTTATTCAATGTGCTTGTCTGGTTGAAAGGAAAGTCTATTTTTAAACTGAAGCATTCACGGTCTGGCAACTGAAATCAGTTCACTATCTGTCTGTCCTGAAGTCATTGGTGCTCAAACTGCTCACTGCTGCATTTGTCTGGCAAACTGTTTTAATCTGTTTGGTCATTCTCTTTGACCAGTGCTCCATGTGCTTCCCAGTCTTTATCTTAAAAGTCCACAGAGACTTTTTCGTCTTCTTCTTTCAGCAGCTTCCATTATGGATCGCCTGGCATCCACTTTAGTCACACCAACTCTCTGCGTGTCCTCTGTCCTCTCTCCCTACATTCATTTCCACCTTTTCCACCCTGCCTGCGCTCTCTTATTTCCCTCTGTTGTGCACTGTTTATTCTTCTGGATGGTTGACCCCATGTATTAAACACATACTCCTTGCAACTTCACCTTCCCACCTGTTTCCCTCTCATTCACACACGTCTTCTCTCTCGTTTGTACTGATATTCACTCTTTTTCTCTCCAGCACATTCCTCCGCCTCTTCAGGCTCTCATCTACCTGCTCCCTACTTTCACTAAAGATCATCTCATCATCATCTGCAAACATCGTAGTCCACAGAGACTCCTGCCTTATCTCATTTGTCAACCAACCCACCTGACACTGCATTTATGTGCTTTTGACTTCTTTTTAAAGTAACACTGAAGTTAAATTACTCAATTGTTTAATGTAATTATTTCATTAGATTTCTTCTTTTTTTAAGTTTTACTGTCCTTGTAGGCTTTGTATCAGATGTATCATCTCTGCAGCTTTTTTATTTTGGGCCTTTAAGTGTCTCATCTTAGAGTTTTTCAAGATTGGCTGTAATAACGCTGCTGTTTCAGAGAGATGAATCATTTTAGCAGAATTTAGAAAGGGCAGAAAAAAAGCAGAAGCACAACTTATGCACAGCACAAATTAAATCCGATGAAGCTATTGCAAAAAGACATTACAAACACACTGAGCAGTCTATAAACAGTGTTGCACTGTTTCAGACACATCGGTCTTAAAAAATGATCCAAAAAAGAACACCTGTATTACACAAGGTCCAGGGAAGGGTGGCGGGAGTTCTGAAGGAGGAGAACTGGCCTAATCCCGGAGAAAGAGAAGTGATGAAAGCATGGGAGTGGGAGAAATGAGAAAGACAAGAGAAGAGATTTGTAGAGGAGATAACAAGAATAGTGTTTATGGTTAAGAATGTTACAAGGGATTTCCATGCCAGATGAGTTTTAAGGAAATTGGGGAGAAAAACTGTGGAAGACATACTAGGTGCGATCAAAAAAGATTTTGGTATTTCATTGATCGCAACTTGTGCAAATCTCCCAAAACTACATTATTTGTGACTTCCAAACAATTAAAAAAAAATATGTAGTTAAAATTAGCTAACATGCACATGCTGTCTGACCACACGACACTTCATACTACAAAAAATTATTGAACTACATCTCAAAAAACCTTTAGTTTTAGAAAAAGTTTAGAATTATACAACTCACCGGTACTCTGGATAAGGGCGTTTTGGATGGAGTGGTCTGGCCTAATGAGACAGGGATGACTATAGAAAATGCAGAAAGCAACATTAAATAAAAAGAAGAGAAGATTTACCACCACTAAATAAAAAAGATTTAAATATTCCTACTAGACTGTGCAGGGGTGAAGACAGGCGTCCCAGGGCCCTGGATTGGAGCAGGGGATCCCAGTGATCCCAGCGCCAGGCTGGAAGGGGGTTGAGGAGGAATGGCTGACTGGCTGGAGCCAGATGCTGCGACAGACGTGGTGGAGGTGGAGCAAGGTCCTACTGGTGACGAGGTACCTGCCACAGCAGCCAGATCAGCAGCTACGATGTCTCCCTGGGTGGAAGGCACCACGCCTCCGAGGTCCATGAAGAGAGAGCGCAGCTTCATTTCCAGAGCTTGGATGTCGTCTGGTTTGCACTGCGACTCAGAGGAGTGCTCACATCTGAAGGAGATCGGTGACAACAAGTCTCAGAAATAATCAGTATTTATGGGTAAATAAGTTAATAAGTAAGTAAGAATTCAAGAACTTTTCCACACAAAATATAGTCTAAAATTGACCATGTATGTGTGTGTGTGTATATATATGGATAGAAATAAAATAGAAATAAATACACAGTGACCACCTCTCACCTGGGCTCGCAGTCACTGTGGGCATGCGTCTGCCCAGCCAGGGCTGCTGTCTGAGGCTGAGAGTGCACCAAAGTTGGTTGGACTGTGGGGACATTTGTGGTCACCGGCAGAAGTCCTCCAGCGGACGATGAGGGAGTAGGAGCAGGGAGGGAGACAACAGAGGGCGTGAGCTGGGGACCTAGGATGGCAGTGGTGGGGATGACTGAGGAGGTCAGGGAAGGAGTTGGCAAGACTGATGAATGATCAGAGGAGACTTCACTGGCTATAAGAGATGAAGAGGGCGGGGAGGACACAAAAGGAATAGTGTGGGCTAGAGGAGGGGAGGTGAGCATTTGAGGGGGAACCACTGTTGGTAAAGTGGAAGGTACTGAAGCAGCACTGACAGAAGAAACTGTCTGGGACTGAGGGTGGCTGAAAGCCTGGGGCTGAGGCTGTGCTTGTACCTGTGTCTGGGGTTGTGAGACAGCCTGAGTTACTGGCTGTGGAAGTACCTGTGATTGAAGGATGCTTTGATTCACTGTTGTAGGGGGAGGAGAAGAGGAACAGGGAGGACTGAGATGGATGGCGGAAGGGGTCGAGGATACAGAAAGAGGAGGAAGAGAGGCATCCTGTGTTGTGTTTAAATTAGAAGGGACATGCCCAGCAGCGGCATCCACAGTGGGAGTGAGTGTGCTACTCTGTGAAGGGACAGAAGCTGCTGCAGGCTCCAGAAGTGGAGGATGGGTGGAGTGGATGGAGGGTGGAGCAGTGTTGGGCCCTGAATCAAGCTGATTTTGGTTCTGTCGGAGTTCAGAGAATGCTTGGTGTAAGCTGACTGCTCCTGTAGAATGGGACAAGCCCAAACCTTGACCTGGAGTCTGTGATGGAGGTGGAGAAACTGGAAGAGAAAAAGGAAACTATTTTAAGCCACCACATGATTATATGTAATTCCTAGCTCCACCCAGATTACACCGATTTATAGGTCACTGTAACCAAATTATTTAGAACACCCTACATAGTGTGCAGAGCCATTAAATTTGAAATTTCAGCCAGTGTACCACATACATAGTAAGCTATATTACACCTTATCAATTAAGAATCATGTTAAAAACATATCTAAAATCAACAAATTTGAGCAATTTTGGGCAAATTAGATCAGCACTGTCAGAAAATACAGTTAGAATGTTTCTGTTTCTTTTATTCAACTTCATGTGAATTCATGTGATAGAATGACAATTAAGGCCACTCAGGCAACACACGATCTCTACAGGTAATGCACGCAAATGCACACAATCCTTACCCGTCTCAACATGAGGTGCAAGAGAAGGAGAGGTGGGAAGCATTTGTTCCTTCAGCCTCGCCTCGGGTACAAGGCTGACGATAAATCTCCGACCTGCCGAGTGGACCACTTGTGCAGATGGACTGGGTGGGATGCCTAAAAAAGGCAGAAGAGTGAGACACGGCCTGGATATGTTATGACATGTTCTGTTGCAGGTTTTCAGGCTAAAAAAAAAAGGTGTTTACAAAAGTGTATTTATTGATTTCCATTCAGAAGATCTGAAGGTCCTTGCCGCTCAATAAACCTGGTCTCGGATTTATTTTATTTTAAGGCTTTTTCTTTCGTCTTTTTTATTTTATTTTACCTTGCATGGGGGCAGATATTGCAGGATTCTGCTGTTGCGTGTCACCTGCCATCTGCAGATCGACAAGAGAGCATGCATTAAACAATGACAGTTGGTCTGTTAGAGGCAAAGGTAGAGATGACCAGTAAGTTTAGACACACCATAGACAGGCTATAAAAATTCAATAGCAGCAGCAGTGAATAAAATAAAGACTCACTGTTTTCTTTGTCTGGCTGTTGGCATCTCTTTCCAGACCCTTCTCATCAGCGTTCTCTATCACCTCTCTGACCTGTTCAATAAATGACTCTCTCTCGCTCTCCAGGATAAACTCACTCTCGACCTGCATGCACGTTGAAAAGGTCACGCTAAGTCACACGCTTATGAATTTGCAATATAATCAGTCACAAACAGCAATATTTCTTTATATAAGCCTTCTTCCTACATGAGTGTGAGGTAACATATGAGTAGTTTTGCCTTGTGTGAGAGTCTGATGAGAACTCTCCATGAAAGTGCAAGGACTAGAGCATGTACTTCAGTGGTTTTGGATGACGCAGAGCAGATAGCAGGCGCGCCGGCACGTAAAAACAATCCAGCCTTAATACAGAGCTATTAATAGGGATTTACAGACAGTATAGCGTGAAGGTTGGATGGCTGAAGCTGACGAGCCAACATTCGCTCATATTCAAAGTAGTAACTAGTCAGCTGTGAGGAAATATTGTTTAATATCCACTCTGGTAACTGTGTGCTGTTGAAACATGCAATTCCACTGACGGGTCATACAAAGTACTATAGTCATTTTTAATTAGATTGCAACGTCAGAATTAAATTTATTTAATTAAAAAAGCTAATGACAAACTTGCTCTCCACGTGGGCTGTTTACATGTATGCAGTCTGCTCAAAAGTAATTGGTTAACAGAACTTAGACTATACGAAATCCTTCAGAACTCAATTCATATACAGAATTTTAGAACAACTATAATTTGGAGCAAGTGGAAATGAATCAAAAACAGTGGATGTGAGTCGTTGTGTGATATTGTGTGCACCATGATCTGGGCAATTTCCTCAGGGTTGTCTCCATCCAAGTCAAACCTAAAGGTCACCATCTTCCTGTTGTGGGTCTCCAGCTGACACTCTGCTACCCTGTCTCCAAGGTTGGAGATCTACATGCAAGCACATCAAGAAATACATACACAGAAAGAAAAGATAATGAATGGAAATAAATAACTTTACTGTAAGTGACACATTTCTAACAACCATTAAATGGATACTTGGTGCAGTAGAAAACAGGGCCTGTTTTTAATTTTGACCTCACAGGACTTATCAGGTGTGCGCTATTACATTGAGAACATTGAGTTTCGCCTTGGTCGTCTTCTCATGGTGTGATCGACTTCGCACAGAACGTCTCTGGTGTCGCTTGGCCGAGCGCCCTTCATGACGACCTCCTCCTCCCTCGTTGCCGTCGCTCAAACCTGAAGTCTCAGAATGGCCACTGAGGTACAACATAAGCAAAACACAGTAAGAGAGAAAGACCTAAAAAGAGCACTGAGTGAGAGAAAGATGTCACAAAGCTAAAATGTCATTCAGAGAAATTGCCTTGATTTCAGGGAAGAGTAACTGTGTGTGTTTGTGTGTGTGTGTGTGTGTGTGTGTGTGTGTGTGTGTGTGTGTGTGTGTGTGTACGTGCAAGTATTACCTCTCTATGAATGAGAGAACTTGAGGCGGCTGTAGCTGGGACTGAGGTAACTCTGAAGATTGTGAGGCAGGCTGAAACACACACATACACACAGATACATGCATGAAACTACGCATGACACACACGGGTGTGGTGTCACCACAAACATCAGGAACACTGAAGGGAAGGAAAAATAGCAGGAAGTTATAACAATTAATGCGGGTGTAAAAACAGAAGCAAATGCTAGCTAGATTATAAGAAAAGTAATTTTCAGAAGTTCAAGTAAATCCTGAGAATGTCAAAAACAGAATATGGAACAAGGATGGAATAAACTGTATCCTTTAAATTAGAACTTTATTCAAACTTGTGAAAAACCAAGTCCACACTTACACCTTTCAAAGAAATGATGAGGTTAAGTAGCAGCCAGGTGCTGCTAATCAAATGGACTTGATGAACTGATCATCAGCCAGTGTTCATCTGGAGCATTCAGGTGTCCCACTACCTCCACCCTCCCACCCCCAAGAACAGCCGGTGCAACGCTCAGAGAAACTGCGAATTACCCAACCCACATCTCAGACTCTACGGGCCTCAGTTAGCATGTTAAATTCTAAAGTTCATGACAGTACAACTAGAAAGTGACCGAGTATGGAGTACACAGTCTCTTCTCTTTAAAAAGAACATGGCAGCACAGCTTAGGTTTTCAAAGCCACATCTGAACAAACCACAAGACGTGTGGAGCAATGTTCATGGACAGCCAAGAGCAAAGTAGTGATGTTTGACCGTAATTCACAGCACCACGTATAGAGAAAAGCAAACACAGCATATCAACTGTCAAGCACGGCAGTGGAGACGTGACGATTTTGCACACCATGAACTCCTTTGTGTACCAAAGTTGCTAAAGTCAAATCTGAGGCCATCTGTCCCACACCTAAAGCTCGGCCAAAGTTGTATCATGCAACAAGACAATGATGTCACAGCAAATCAGCAATTCTGAGTGGCTGAGAAAGAATCAAGCTGCAGCAATGACCCATTCAAAGTCCAGACCCCAGCCTGACTGAGATGCTGTGGCAGGACTTTAAGAAAGCTGTGCATAAACAAACGCCTCAATGAACCGAACCAATATGAACCAAGAAGAGTTACTGATCAGTTCCATAGGACATTATATTTATTTTTAAACTAATCAAAAAATTTGGTTTTGCAGGTTCAACATGTTTTTTCTATTTTTTTAACTCACTCCACCAACAAGACGCGTAAGTTTTTCCAGCAATTATTAACTGACTGTATATTGTTACACTTAAACCCACAAAAGGCAATTAAAACAACACAAAACTGTAGCTGTGCATTTCCATTTCTTACTCGCAAAACTTTAACAAACAGAATTATCATATAGCAATACTCCAGGATGTGCATTTCAGATTAAAAAACAAGAACTTCGTAACATCTTTGTGAGGTCCTATCAGTAGAAAGTGTGATGGTGGTTAAAAAAAAAAAAAAAAAAAAAACTTCATGCATGAGTTCCAAGATTTTTTAAATTTGGGAAAATTCTCATTTCATTCACTTTTGGTGGGTTCGACCATCTATAACCAGTACCTGAGGGGGGGCTTCCATGGGGGTATCAGGCGGGGCGCTGACTACACTGATGATTGGCACCACCGTGGCCAAAGCCTGAGGCACAGATGTGGGTACGGGAGTAGGAGGAGGAGGGGAAACAATAGTAGGCACCACCCCAACAGGGACTGGCAGAGGAGAGGGAGGGGGAGCCATGGCCGCGCTTGGCTTTGTGACGGCAATAGACAGCAACGGAGAAGGAAGGGTCACCAAAGGAACGGTAGAGGTAGGTGGAGTTACACCAGGCTGAGAAGGAAGGAGGAACAGAGGGAAAGAGAAAAGAAAGGAGAAAAGAGAAAGAAGAAGATAAGGAAGAGGAGATGAGAAAAGGACGGGAGCAAAGTCATGAGGGGATAAGGAAGTAGAAAAACCCAGCCAGGGATCAGACATGACAAGCATGGACAGACTGAATCTGGGTCTTTACTGGTCTCCATGATAAATCATGTTAAAATAAAGACGTCAAAGGAGCGAGTCATCCACAGTTCCAACACATTACTGACATGTTTCACACCCTTAACAAAAACTTAACCAAGCAAGACAACAGGACCGTACATCAAGCCTGTTAGTAAGGACATACCAAGCTCTGAAACCAAACAACACACACTGTGTGACAGAACAGCTGGGTGATACACACACCACTGGAAGACCATGCAACAACAGAGCAAACCCTACAGACAACGTGCAATACGGCTTTACAATGTAGATGGGCAACACTCTCAACACCACATCACAAATGGGAAAAGAAGGCTAAAAACCTTCAAGAGTCAAGATATGGAAACACTGTAAACGAAAACAGCTTTCTATTTTTAGTCTTCAAGATCCAACGTCCTGAATAAATATTATTACCTACTGCTTGGTGTCGTGTGTTATAAAAGAAATACATACAGTAACAATAAAAACTGCATGTTTGCAGAAATGGTGAAAAGAAAACTTAACAGCTAAAGAAACAAAACCGAAAATATTGCTTAATATTTGAATCATCGGCTGTCTTTTACTCAAAGATTCAATCTACACGTTTAGAAAAACACATTTTTAATCGTTTACAGCAAGGCAAAGATACTACATTCATTTTTATATACAAAAAAATATCAATCAAGTTGGTTAATGGTGTGTTTAAGTGGCCAATCTCACTGTTTGAAACAATGAAAATTATACTAAAAGGTTTAAAAATAAAAAAAATGCAAGTCATGAAATCATTACTGTAAAACTAAAAGACTAAAATATCCGTGCAATGAAATTTAAATTCCATATTTTGTCTTTAAATCGGACGTGACGTGTTACTCTTTATAATTCTTTAATATATAATTTGTTAGATAGTGAATCAATTTTTGTAGTTTTGCACAGATCCACAGTTAAAATCAAATAATCGAAATGTAATTCAAGTGCAGACTTTCTGCTTTATCCAAGGGGTTAAATACTGTATTAGTTGTGTAGTAATTATAACCACTTTATACACCGTCCCTGATGTCCAGAGGCTAAAAATAACCAGACGATGGACTGACAAACAGTTTCATGGCCAGGAGAGACCTGTTTCATTATCATGATAAATAAAGGAGACATAATATCTGGAGTGGATACAGCATCCCAAAAAGATGTCAGTGTAAATGAAGGAAGAAATAAAGACTAGTAGAGGCTCAAAAGCTCAAATAAACCTTTCAGAGAGACAAAACTTTACCACCCTGTGCATTCTGTAAAAAAATAAATGCACTGATGACCTCAGCAACGGCAAAAGGCCTGAAGGTGCATGATGACAGAGTTTATGATCCTTAAAAAAAAAAAACACTCTCAAAGTGCCGGACGTATCAGGTCTACAATCAGGTGGTTGCTTCATGAATGGAAACACAAAGGCTTCAGACAGGTGCAAACCACTGATTTCACCTCAAGAACAAGAAGGCCTGATGAGGACTTTGGCAGAAAACATCTCAAAGAGTCTTCACAGTTGTGGAAAAGAAAATCTTCGGACAGATGAACTCAATATAACTTGTACTAAAACGATGCCCATGGGCTCTAGTGTTAAGGTCATCGACTTCAAAGACAATCAATTCTAATATTTAAAATTATGTCCGTTTGTCCAATTACTTTTGAGCATCTGAAAATCAGGGCTTGTGTATAAAAATAGCTAAAATTCCTAAACAGTTAATGCAAAATTGTTGTTAAACCCCTTAAATCAAAGCTAAAAGTCTGCACTTCAATCACGTGTCGACTGCTTTACTTAAAACGCACTGCAGTGGAGTACAGAGAAGAAAAAAAAAAAAACACTCTTTTTCCAACAAAATATTGACTTAGCCTTAATACCAAACTAAATACTGGACTATTACTGGAAATACTGCCCATCTCCATTTCCGTGCTCATGTGTTTGTTGTCCATGCTTTTACTAAGGTGGTCAGTGAGAGCATGTGGGGTAAACAAAGATGCACTGTCAGGAGAATACACAGCTCTACTCAAAAGGTCTATGTTCTGTTCAAAGGATTCAGTTAATACATCACAGTTTCACGTGAGGACAGAGACAAACAGGCACAGCCACTTACAGTACAACAAACTACAGTGTCAATTACGACGATACCTGAGACAGAGCTAGCTGAGCAACTTGGTACAGAAGATAAAGGTGCTCTAAACTGGGAGATGGACTTAAGTCACAAAACTAAACACGCAACCACACGGCGTACCACACAAACACAATGATATACAAGTGGATACGTAAAAACACGTAAAAACAAACCCGGTGGTAAACACAGGCAGCATGCCCACGAGCAAGCCAGAAAATGGAAAGAAAAACAGAAGAAAAGTGAAGAAAGCAGAACATGCAACAAGACAAAATAACTGAGAAACAGCAGGTGGAATGCCTAACTACATATCCACAGATGCGTATGTGCATTTGTCTCTGGGTATTCGGGTACAGAAGTGAGGAAATACTAATGGCAACTTTTACTCTAGCCCTGAGGTGAAATAACAGACACTGTTATGAATTGTGTGAATTGTGAATGAATTGCGTTTAGCAGATTTGTTTCAGATTAGAATTTAAAATGTGGGCGAGCAGTTGCATTATATGCATAAGTGTGTAAATAACTAAAGATAAATGCAGATATACGAGCCATCAGGCACCTTTAAAAAGACCTATCATGTACAATTAGGAACACTTCAATCTAAGCCAATCCAGTATGCCATAATAACCCACAATCACTTTACTGTTAAAAAGTTAAACTATCAACTTTCTAGAAATGTCAACAAAAATAAAAACTTAAAATTTACATTTATGGAAATGCTGCTTTAGTGGATTGGGTTAGGTTACACAGTGTTAATATATAAATGAATGTATATTTAAATACTCAATCTAGAATACAATCTCTTTGAAAAGAAAGAGTCCTAGCTAAAAACACATATAGATATATATTTAACAAATACAACTATAACTGTACCTGTGCAGGTGACTGTGGCAGAGGTGTGTGTGTGGGGCTTTGAAGTGATGTGCTACTCTGGCTAGATGAGGCAACCTGGAGAGGGACAAACAGAGAAACGTGGGTGAGAGAAAACAGTGTAGATCAGGGGTGTCCAACTCCAGTCCTCGAGAGCTACTGTCCTGCAGCTTCTAGATGCATCCGTGTCTCGACACACCTGAATCAAATCAATGGCTTGTTACCAGGCCTTTGCCAAACTTGATGGCATGCTGAAGAGGTAATCCAATTTGATTCAGCTGTGTTGGAGTAGGGATGCATCTAAAATCTGCAGGACAGTAGATCTCGAGGACTGGAGTTGGACTCCCCTGCTGTAGATATTTACATAAACAAAGATACTCTTTATGTGTTTGACACCGAACAAAATGGTTAATTTAGCAAACTGCCAAAAGATAATATGGCTGCATTCTGACAAAATAAGTGTTACAATAAAAATGTAAATGTGACCAAATTATAAAGGGTCATAATATAAATGAAATAATTGACTATAATTTATTGCTCAATCAAAGTTCAGTTCTTTGGACCCCACAGCGTACTGATTAACACATTGAAATTACTCCTGTAGTTGGGAGTAGTCCACTTTGAGCTACATTTGAGCCAACACAAAGAGCTGTGAGCAAGGCTTCACCTCCTCTAACTGACCTCACTAAACTGGGCCTCTTAACTGAGGCCCTGAGAGCTTTGCAGGTTGCCGCTCCAAATAAAGCTTGAGGTGATAAATTTCCACCTTTCTGTTCAAATCTAACTCCCAATAACTAATATGTAGGTGGCCAAAACACCGAGACTTGAAAATAATGCTAAAAACCAATGCCTACCTGTTGGGCAGTCCCAGAAAGTGGTGGCTGTGTGCTGGCAGGGACCAAAGCAGGTCCTGAAGTTGGCTGAGGGGAGGACACCTGAGTCTGCTGTTAAGAGTCAGATTTAGAGAAAGGAAGACAGAAAAATGGAAAGACAGGACCAGATGCAACGTCGTAGGACAAAACAATGGAGGATGGAGGAGAGAAATTGAGAGAGATTATGGACAAGAGAGAGTAAAAGAGAGAAAAAGACAATTAGAACATGTTTGTAGCTTTTGGATCCAACAGTATGCATGAGTACAAACACAAGGCAGTTCTGCTCTTCTCTAGCAATCATTTTTAATCTAGATCTTCCTCTTGTGTATGCACACATGCAAACAGACACGTATACTCTAATCCGATGACAGATATATGCACACTGATATCTAATGTATGCATATACGCAGCTTGTAGTATAGCATGTACAACAGTATGGGCACGGCACTGGGGTTAGGCAGGGTGTAAGTAGGATTTATTTAACATGCAGGTCAGGACCTAAGTCATTAACAGTGATGATAAAAAGGTGTTATATAGCCAACAGAGCACAGAGTAAAAATTGGAATACTCTCTATGAATTAACTAAGATGTTTTAAAACACTTGCTGCTTTTTCAGATTTCATCCTAACACCACATGTCCTGTTCATGGCCCTACCTCTGACTCTGACAGAAAGTCTGATTCACTTGAAATGATGCAGGCTTTCTTTTGAGTCAACTTATCATTTCAATTGTATATTTGATTTTCAATCCTTTGAATTTCATGATGGTCATCACCCTGACAGGCTCCTGTGTTCACTTAACGAATTCTTCAAATACTCTACAGTAGCACAGAGATGACTACAACCAATCCACTGATGACTGAACCCTTAGAAGGCCGGAAGCAACTGTATACTTGTCGTGAAGCTCATCCTGAGAAAATATGGGGAAAGCTTACGCAAGTACGGTACGTTGCACCAGACGTACGACTACCTAGCTTTCTCTAACATTACAGGGAGTAACACAAACACATAAGAGGTTGCACATACGCAATATTTAGTAAATAACGTTGCTAAAAAGATCAAGAACTTAATATAAATGAGATGGAAAAAAAGAGCTACTGATGGACGATGAAAAGGAAAATGAATAAAGGAAAGAAAGTAAACAAGAATGTCAGCGTTCTAAGGGTTTAAAGAATTTCAGCTGTGACCTTTGAACCCTGTGTAGGAAGTTGATTTTCATTGTGGGCAGGAAATGATAACATAATATGTTAAATTAAAGAACTGGCTCGAAGCCAAGCTCTTTAGCATTTACAACACAAATTGTGAAACACACAGATGAACGTCTCTCTGCATGGTTACATTGCTATTTTGTCTAAGCCTCCTTTAGTTTTGTTGTATGTTTCTGTGTGTTTAAGCATACAAATCAGCAAAGTCTTACAGCTTTATGTGAATTCAGACGTTGCGTTAAATGTCATAAAATGATATCAAATGTGCGCACGTCGACGTCTTAAAGATGCCTTTTTTAAAATGTACATCTAGATTATTCATCTTAACCATTAACCTTTAAACTCCAGATCAAACTGACTTTGGATTTGTATGGGCTAAAATTCAAGTATACTGTAGACACAGTATACCAGCACAAACACACATTTCTCATATACTTTCATATATGAACATACAGACAAAATATTACTTACTGATAACACCAAAAATTCACAACATAAACACAGAGAAGAAGGGAGCTTAGACTCTGCTCATAAAGCTTTTACACCACAGAGTGTCCCAAAGAGTCTTACTTTCAACGTAATTATCCATTTACTAAAAATAATGCCTCGAATGTTAAACTTAAAATTAAATGGTTCTGGTTTCATGTTTTTAACCAAAATATTTGAAAGAATCACCCCTTTTCCTTTAATGCTGTTGAAGAATGAAGAAACTACGAAGGCAGACTCTCTGTGGTGCTTGCACGACAGAAAAGGGGGGATTAAATCACAAAGACTACATGATGACATAAAGAAAAAAAAAATACCATAAATAAAATATGGAGGAAAAAAAACAACAGGGATTGGTGTAACAGACTCTGGGTCAGATTACCAATAAAATTCAATTTCTTTTGCTAGATTGCACAACATTGTTCCAATTATTTACTGGCTACGGGGTCCAAGAACAAGACTGTTAGAAGGATAATATATTAAAAAAAAACTGCCAATCTGTGAGCTGTTAATAATTTATAATCAAAAGCAGAAAATACCATAATTTAGGAATTACAGTTTAACCATCAATCAAAACATTCTATGTAAAATTTTGGTATAAATTTCAAAATCTAAACTAGTAACTGACCCAGAGGTCTAGGTGTGGTTTCTAGTTCTAAACATTGTACCAGAGGGGGGTTAGCGGCCTGCATGGCCAGCAGTGACTCGTGGTATGTCATATCAGGTTGAGCTGGCACCATTCCCCCGTGCCGGGCCCAGGAGCTCTGGATCAGAGACTCCAGCTGATTTGATGACGACCCCCCAAGCGGGAGCTCGGACGATGGTGTGGTGGGCAGAAAGTTCTGCACTGAAGGCGGATGCCCCTGGGGATCTGCGTGAAGAACTCCCCCTGGTGAATCGTAAGGCGCAGTGGAGGACGAGCGAGGGATGGACTGAGCAGCTGAGGACTCGAAGGAAGGAGGAAGAGGTGGCGGAGGTGGTGACTGGAACTCTCCTGCATCAGAGGAGGTCAGAGAGTCGCTGGAAGGATCGGGACTTCTGTCTTTTACAGTCAAACCTGCGTGGTGAAGGAGGAGACTTCCCGGAGGTAAAGGGAGCTCCGGACTCACGTAAGAGTACAGCTCTTCTGTCACTGGCTGCAGACGACTATATGTGCCGGAGCCACTGGATCCCGTCCCAGGGCTGTCCTCTAGAGGGAGGTCCATAGAACTCCGTCTGGCCCGGTAAAGTCTGGATGCCAGGAGGCTTGGATCTCCAGCAGCGGCTGCAGCTGCAGCGGCTGCAGCTAAATGAAACTCAAAAACACTTCCGGTAGGTGGCGGGGCGTCGGCCATTACTGGAGGTGCAGAAATAGGAAAGGAGGATGAGGAAGCATGCTGTGGAGCATAGCATCCCTCGGATGATGAAGAAGACATAGAGCCAACCGTGGATGCACTCATGGGGGGTAAGGGTGGCGGTATTGGACTGTGTGCACTCATTCTTTGCAGGATATGAGGATGTAAGAACCCTGCTTGAGATGGAGGACCAGGATCAAAACCCAAACCAGCAGCTGCAGCTGCTGCCTGCCTCTGCTGATGGAAAAGCTGGTGTGCAGTCATTGGGTAGCCTCCATATGCCATTGCTTCATAATGGTCCAATAAGGCTGCTTGATTTAGATTGAGTCTCCTCACTGCTTCCTCGTGCTCTGCTCTCATGTCTTTGAACCCATAAAAACTTGGATCAGATTGTCCTGGGAGATGGAGGGGTTCCCCAACACCAAGTCTTTGAGCAGCTGCTGCAAAACCAGGATTAACCATGAAGAGAGAAGGAGCCTCAACACCCTCCATGCCAGAAAAAGGGTGGAGGCTGCTCCCGTAACGAGGGTAAGCAGGCTGAAAGTGTCGGGTATGCGCCTCGAGAATGGAAGTGCTCTTGCGTCTCTGAGTGTTGTAGGCCTTTGGAGGCCCAGTAGGAGGAGGTGAGAAGGAAATGGGACGCTCAGGGATAGAGGGGAAGAAAATAGTCGGGGGGTCTGGGAGAGTTGGAAGAGGGACGTTCCCTCCTGCTCCCCCTCCTGTGCTTGGTCCTCCGCTGAAAGGGTGTGGCATTGAATGCTGCTGTGACAGTGAGATACAATGGATTTAAGAATGACACTCAGAGAGAATGACACAGAACCACAGTAAAGGCCCAATGAAATGGAGAAAAAGAGCATAATTTCAAAGAACACCCCAAAATAAAAAGGGGGATGGGGGTAGTCACCTTCTACACTTAAAGGAAAATTATGTGGTTAAAAGCTGTTTAACAAAGTGAACCAAACTGGTAATGAAGAGATGGGAAACTGGTTACAATAGACAGATGAAATCACACACAGCTACAGCACAAAGACACAAGACAAGACAGAAAAGGACAGATATACACCATCACAGGTGGAGAGAAAGTGAGTTATAAAATGCAAAGAGAGGAAAGGTTGTCTCAAAGGTTGACATTATCCTAATGCATCTGCAATCAGGAAAATTGTGTTTTATTTCAAACATATCTCTGCAAAATGTTGACCTTTTAAGCAGCCAGCTGCCGCTTGCAAGAAAAGGTAGACTGCAAGACTTTCCAGAAAGTGCAAATATCTTCTCACAGATTCTTCAACCATCACCTACGTCAGCGGTCCCCAAGCCTCGGGCCGCGAGAGCTGAGGCTCGGGTGTGAAATTTATGGTTTTCAGGGCTTTTATTGTTAACTCTGTTTCCCTAGGTCTTTTCCCGTGTTGTAGTTGTGCGTCTTATTTTGTTTACGCGTTACCATTGTGACCGGAGAGCATTCAGGGGCAGAGAGGAAAATCTCCTCCTGAAATGCGCCAACTCTCAATGCTGCTGGTGCATTTAAGGAGGACGCTGCTAATAAAGTTACAAAATTACACGGCGAATATGCGTTTATTATTACATTTACAAAATACCACAGTTTTTGTCTTGGTCGTATCATTTAATTTTGTTGTATTTATCCGTGACACCTTAAAGGCCGGTCTGTGAAAATATTGTCTGACATTGAACCAGTCCGTGGCGGAAAAAAGGTTGGGGACCGCTGACCTACGTCACATCTTCGCTGTCTCTGCATGTTATGGGAACATCCTGCATTGTTTTTATACCAAATTGCTGTAAAGTAACCAGTTTTCCTGATTCAGGATGCACATTTTATTAGAGCATTTGACTACAGAGCAGGGTTAAAGTAAAGTGCAATCACTGCGTATTTAATAGGACTATGCGGTGGCCAGTGGAGGCCGAGAGAGTTTTATAGAGACGTATGTCTAGAATCAAAGACTCACAAACGAGTCTGAAAATCTAAATGGAAAAAAAAGTGAGCACGTAATACACGTATTTTTGTGTAACAGGCTTGCTACACTAACCCTTACAGGAAGTTTGAGAACTTAAGTAGCGCTAATCTAAGCATACTACATCTAGTTCATGTAAAGTATCCTTTATGCCAGCTGTTGTTCTTCTAACTCACCATTTTAACTTTTACTGAATTTCTCTGAAGCAATGAGCTTTTATATTTTCTATATTTAATAGTGCAAATGTACATTTCTTAAGATCAACAAAGGACCTTATCCTGGTTGCTTAAACCAGAAAAATGTTCAAATCGTAACCAAGAAAAATAATCAGCACTGAAACAAACTGCATCAGTTAGTAATATGTACATGGTGTCATATTGTGTTTCCATATGCAGCATCACTTGGAACTTTTCAATAATGCAATTTTGCATTTTTATAAATCTTTCATTTCAGACTCAATGTGGCCCATGTCCATCATCTTTTTCTCTCTCGTCCTCTTTGGTTCCACCACTATGGCCCAATTATCTCTTTAGAACCTACAGGGGTTGAGAACAGGGCAGGTAGGCTGGCCCGCCGCTGCCTGGCCCTGGGCTGAGACGAGGCAGAGTGAAGGGGCAGGACTGTCTCCAGGGCCTTGGAGAGGCACCTAGTGAATGTGTCCCTCTCTGATGTGAGAGGTGTGCATGATGAGGCAGTGGTGTAAGGGGACGAGGAGGACAGGTCTGGAGGTGTGGCGGGCTGTTTTGGAGGAACAACCAGGGGCGGAGGAACGTGAGAAAAGGAGTAGGAGGAAGGGGGAACGCAAACAGACATGCTACGACATCGACGGTGGTGCGACACAGGCTGCAGGCCAGGGAGGGTTGATGGAAGAGGGAGTGACCAACATGAAAAACAAACACAAAAAGAAAAAAAAAGCAGGAGAAAAGGTACTTAAACACAGATCGCAGCAGTTGTAGCGAAACTTAAAATAAAAACCAAATCATACCATAAATAAAAGCCACAGTTTTACAGTTTTTACATCATCGAAAAAACCCCCAACAAAACAATTACAGTTATTTTGTGAGCGAAAATGTTTCAGATTTATAAACAACAGGTTTCTCAATGGAGCTAATCATTTGCAAGTCATCTATCATACCGTTAAAAGTGTCCAGTTTCACAAATATCACAAAGACACAAAAATAAACTGTAAATTAAAGAAACAGAAAAAAATATGTCAGACTTCAAATAGAACAAAGAATGATTTTTCAAAATAACTCATTAGGACCTCATTTGATGTTAGAAACAAGCCAGTCTGTCTATTTCACCACCTCCAAAAATTGGCTTTGATGAGAAAATAAGCTTCCTGAGTAATTCAGTTGCAGTTCAAAGAAAGCCTTGAAAGGACATTATTTAGTTATATAGTCAATCGGTGTACATCTAGGTGAACAACAGCAGTCTCAGTCTGTGTGGATGCTGGTAATTTAGAAGTCAGATGAGGGCATAGAAACCAGAAGTCATCGCGTGTAATGGCGAAAATTAAAATTAAAACGTTCACCTCTCCATTACCACTACTTTTAACAAGAAATGTGATTCATACGCTCCAGATATAAATAAGTCAACCTAGATCTAAATCTTGGCCACTAAGAGAAAGCGCATAAAACTATGTCAGGTCCTTGAGAAAAAATATCTAATGCATTGTAAATAAATAATGACCTGCGAGTGATCTCAACATGTTCCTGTTTGACGTGTGTCCAAACAGATGTGCCCGACTATGAATGAATAAAACAAATGAAATACACCAAACAGAAAGAAATAACAGAATGACCGCAAAAATGAAATTTATAACTGTAAAGGAAAAAATATATAGAGACACAAGGACAGGAAAGCAGGGTTTAAAGACAGAGAAGAAAGGTGGTAACTGTCTGATAATGAGAGATGCTTTTTTTGGAATAAAGAGAGTACTCACCGACATCCAAGGTACAGATGATGACATATGGTACTACGCTGGTAGTACAGACATAATACGTCTGACTATGTTTGACCTTACTGATGGATTAAAGTGGCTGAAATATTATAACTGCCATAATGGGTTAAATGTTGAAGGCTGCATGCCTCAGTGAAGAATAAGTCAAATCAGTGCCTTGTGTTATTTATCTTCCTGAAGTGTAATAAAGTTACCATCTTCAAGTAAAAGCCAATTAACTGCATTCTTTTATTTTTATAAATACAGGCGGCTGAAATTCCCCACACCAGTTCGAAACACCGCAAAATTCATTCCAACTCACTCCCACTCCAACACATGAAGCAGCGCTCACTGCAAACTGACGAGTCATGTTTAATCACATCCGTGAGCATCGAGAACATTCTAACCGTCACCGATGTGGCATGACTGTCACGTGTAGTGACTCATTTGAATGAAAGCTCCACTTACCATTGGCTGCAGCGGCTGGGCGTAGCCCGGGTGCTGCTGTGGGGTAGCGGAGGGGGTGGGGGGATAGGGGGTCTGGGGCTGGGAAGGAGGCTGGCTAGAAGGGGGGCAGCTGTACGACATGGTCAGCTGACCCAGGTGGGGGGAGTCTGAGGAGAAAACAGAGGAACCCTGGCCACTGTCCACGCCTCCTTCAGCTGACAGGGACACAAAAACAGACTTTTTACTGGAGTAAACTTTTCTAATGCCCGACTCTAAATACTGTATCGAATTTGAAAAGTGGGCCAAGAATGGCTGCTTCTGATTTGAAGGAATACATTTAAACTTGATGCTAGAAAACCTTCCTGGCCTTGGTGGGCAAATATAACAATTGTTGAAATCGACTATTTAGACTAGACCTCCTTATCTGGGTACTTACATGTGTGTGAGATGCTCGCCTGCTGATAGAGAAGCTGGTGCTGCTCCACTTCGGTCTCCTCGGTCTCTGCCTGCAGACAAGCATGCACAGGAGAGGGTCAAACTGAAGCAAAATAAGAATAAAACTCCTATTTCTCTGACCCTAATGTAAAAAAATGACTCCACCATATGATAGGAAGAGCAAGCAGTGGATAGACATGACTGATATGCTTACATGTTGGAAAAACAGGGCTTTAAGTAACTGACTAAAAAGTGAAAAACCTAACATACCAGATCTCAGTGTGCTCTTGTAGGAGGATGTGCCACCTTCAAATGTTTGATAGTAAGTCCCAATCCTTACTGTGAACTGCTCTTCGAGACTCTTTTGGTTGGTTGTAATCATTTGAAAAGAAAAAAAAAAACACTTGCGGCTGCCAGTGGTACCCCTCAGCCTCCTGGTAGATACACCTATCTACCTACATGTCCTAATTCTTGAGCTTGTGCAGTAGATGGCTAAGTAATTGTTTTCATTACAAACCTTAAAAAGAATACTAAACTGCACCAAAATCAGTCTGCTGGTTCAATAGACTTATTAAAGTGCTTTTTAACTTAGACACCAAACTAATGCGATGCCCGTCAGTCCGACAGACCTGTGTGTGTGAAGCTTTGTGTGTATCGTGTTGTTGCTGTTGCTGCTGCTGCTGCTGTTGTTCTGCCTCCAGCTTCCTCTTCTCCTGTTCCTCTCGTACCAGCTGCCTCTGCTCTCGCTTCCTCCGGATCAGAGACACACGGTCCTTGATGGCCTTGGCCATGGTCTTATGGTCAGCCTCAGCAACATAGCCAGACTCAACCTGCGGGATTAAAGAGAAGTCACTCAGAGACACAAAAAAAAAAAGGCACAACTCCATTTAACGCCATTCATCATTCCTATATGAATGAATGTCCCATTTCCATCTCTCATTACAATATATTTCTTTCCTCATTCCCATATATCTCCTCTGTCCTTCCTAAATCCATCATTTTCTCCCTCTGACATCCATTATTCCACAATGAATAGAGTAATAAATGGATTTGTTCCTATTCACTGTACTCACCATTTCTTGGGCCACATCTTCAGGGACGTCCTTGTTCAGGTCAAAGGAGAACTCGATGGCTTCGTTGTCTTTGTATTTTCCTGCAAACATGTTAAAAATTGCCAATCAGGCAATTACCTATAGTATTAATGTACTGTTACTGGTTGCCCAACAAAACATGCGCTTTGGTTTTTGACCAGTTTAATATATCTGAACACATATGACAAATAGAGTCAGATTTTGTCCTGTGATGTGAATAATGGCATCATCAATAATGATAAAATCATGCCTTACCTTTGAGCTTCTTCACGTCTTCTATCCTGAGCCACAGTTTAATAGCGATCATTTCTCCATCGTCCTCTTCTGCCAGTTCAACCCTGACCCCTGTTTCCTCCTGGAAGAAGGCATGGTTCAACAGGATCTTTATGGCATACCTAGAGAAACAAGGCGAGATGGATCAAGCTCAGTACAATATATTCACTGGAGATTCAACAGGAAAGTTATACCATAAATGAGAGTGAACTGGAATTATTTCTAGATACCACATCAATTTATTCAAGACCTGCAATCCCTTGTGAGCTGATCCCTAACTCATGAGCTAAGAGGAAAGACAAGATATTTGAATAATCTTCTGGGAATCGTAACATGCTGACGACATGTTGTCTTTAGATAGCTTTGAAAATTGTGCAATCACTTTTGGAGCCTCCAAATGTTTCTTGGGAAAAGAAAAGTAGTTTAAAAAAACATCAGCAATGCTAAAAATGGTTATTGGTTTCCAAGAAAAATATGAAAAAGATACAGTAACTGAATCTGGATAATTTGGAGAAAGAAGATTTGGAGAAAAAAAAGAAGATCGAGTATGAGAGTGAGGGGTAAAGTTGCTTTGGTTAAGCTTGTGAAGCAGAAGACGAGAGACTGTGGTAAAAGTGTTGGCAGGCAAACAGCACGTGGAGAGAAAACAGAGCACTTCTTAATTTCTAACCAAGAAGGCATGAGTTTTTAAAAAAACGTAACCTTTTTTTTTTTAGAGGAGGTTTAACGGATCAATCTGTCTACCCATGAAGAGACTAAATAACAATGGCCATTTTAATTGTTGAGTTTGCAAACATGCAAACATCCACAGCCCAAGAAATCACACCAAGCCCAGATACACATTTAGCATCAATGGTTTTTGTCTGTGACTCACCTCTCATCCTTGTTAGTTCTGATGCAGCAGTCGATAATTTCTTTCACCTCGGGAATGGCTACCTTGTCAAAGCTGGCAGGCTTCACTCCCTGCAAAGCGAAAATAGAAGAGCAGTGAAGGGAAGGAACCTTTCAGAGAAGTCAAACAAGCACACACATAAAGGATAAAAAGAGCATTGTGTGATTTTAGGCTGTCCCAGACAAATCATGACCAGTGTGACTATATCTTTGGCAGTGGCTCCTGCAAGCAGTTCAAAACTGGTTACTAGAACAATTTTTCCATTAAACAGCCTGACTGGAAAAATTCTGACTGTGCCAGAAATTTAGAGTGACCACTTCTCAACATGATATCTGTTGCTACTTACATATATATATATATACTTACCAACCAAAGCATATAATGACACGGTGATCAATGTAAAATCAATTCAAAAGATGTTATAATCATATAGCTAGATCCATTAAATACCAATGTCCTACCCTGTTTGTTACGTCTCAGTTCCTAAGAATGCTAAGGTTACATGTGTAGTAGGCACCTTTAAACTCTTTCCTTAAATAGATGAGATTTACCATAAAGTTGGCATATTTATTCATTTTAGATACAGAATGACAATTAAATGCAAAACCTAAACACCAGATCCCCATATTGAGGTGATCTGGCAGCTCTGTAACACCCTCACTTTTGACTGAAATTCAGTTGCACAGGTCTCTGCAATCAATCTCAGACAGATTGTTGAAGGTTTGCAAATAAGTGCTGTTGAACTTATAAACACAAACAGAATACATACACATTGCAATCAGTCTGAGTAAATCTGTGCCGATGAGCACAACTCATCTTTGATGTGTTTCTTTGGAACAGGGCACTCAGCTCAGCTCAAGGTTGTATTGTGGTTTCATTCCTATACAAAAGCAAGGCTGCCAAGCGCCTGTGTCATTTTGCAGTTAAATCCCTGTCGTGCACAACTTTGTCACTTTTTCTATTGGAATTTCTGTTCAGGAAGGACTCTGAATCCAAGTAGTTAATGTGAATTTCTGTTTATGCAAAGCTCAACAGATAAATAAATGCAGTATTATCAGAAACAGGCTGCATGTAACTGAAAATTGACCACATTCAATCACAAACTGATAGCGGACTGGTTGCAGACTGACTGCGAGTGGTTCCAGAACTGGTCCCTGTCTTCAAAGCTCATCATTTCAAAGGCTTATTACACAAGGTCACAATTATTTTGGTTGTGCCACATCTCCAACCACTTCTTTCCCTTGCACGTCTTTAGCAATTAAGTAAGCAGTCACTACAAATCACACGGTTGTTTTTAGCTTATGATGAAAAATGTCAATCCTGATGGGAGGGGTGTCTTTAATGTCTCCATCCAAAGGTAATGAGGCACCACTGAATGGTTTGGGGAGAAAATTATGCTGTGACATTTAAAGTCATCAGATCTCAACTTAACTGAACACTGAAGGAAGCGTTCGGATCAATGTGAATAGTTTAAATTGGGCTGAGAAAGCGCTATTGTGTTGTCTCTGTGCATTTTGGTGAATGATCAAAGTATTACTGCATTATCAGCCCTGCACTACTTATACTCAATTGAGGGTTAGGGTTTAAACAGCTGACAGACAAGAGGTTCTGAACTGTGAGATTGAGTAATAGTTTGACCCAGGGTTAAATTCCACATAAATCCAGTTGTCCCATCAGGTATAAATAATGAAGTGGAGCCTTTCAGAGCCAATTAAGAGCACATCAACAGAACAAATCAGCAGGAACCCAAAGGGCAGCCCCCTCCAAGGCCTAGCAAACACTGGGAATGACTCCCAAATTATTTGAAAAAAAGAATATAGTTCAAAAAAGATTAAAAGAAAAAAATACACAAGACACAAACAGTGGAAAATAGATGTTAGCGTGACAGGACACAGGTTTTACAGAGTAAGAGATTTTTCAGCACTTGGAAGTAACTGCAGCAGGAACAAGGGACGCCTGAAATCCCATCTAGTTTAAGCCACACGGCATAGCAGAAAGCATCCTAATGAGCTGGACTTTTGTTCAAATCCATTTTATACTACAGAGAAACAAAACAGACTGAAGCAACCACAGACAAGAAAGTCTTGCATGTTCAGTCTTGCATCTCCTAGGTGCCCATCTGAAAAGCAGTTATTAAAAATATGCAACTGGCTGGTAAAACAATCAGAGTCGAGCAAATCTCAAACTGCACAGAAGCAAGAAAAACACATTCAGAACAGCAGGAAGAAGATCAGAGAGAAAGAACAAAACTTTTTTTTTTATCACTTACCAAGAAAGTAGTCAAAGAAATGTGACTGACTGATGCGTTTGGAAAAACAAAGAGTTTTAGGCTACTCTGTTTGACTAACAGCTGCTTGTCAGACACACAAACCAGCAAATGACCACTTCTTTCTGCTCTCCCAGCTTCCTTTCCTCCTTTCTTTTGTCTCTTGGCATGTTTCTCTCCTGCTACCCCACCAGTTCACCATTACATAACAACCCTATCTCTCTCCTTCTCCCCATCACACACACACACACACACACACACACACACACACACACACACACACACACACACACACACACACACACACACACACACACACACACACACTCTGAGATTCCAGGGCCAAACAAAGTTAGGACTGACGGGGGACGTAATGCTATTAAGCCTGACAGAAGAAGAAGAAGGGGAGAGGGATGGAGAGAAAGCTAGATTTTAGTTTAATAAGGCTGATTGGAGGCAAGGAATGTTCCAGGATGAGAAGGACAACGAAGCATGTCAACAACACAATTTGTCAAGCTATAAGAAGCTAAGCCATAAAGCATACCCAACACATCTTCCTGCCAGTGACGCACAAATCATACAAAGAGCCTTTTTTAATTTCTAGAAAAGAACCAATTAACAGAATTTCCTGCCAAACTTTTTAAAAGTGGAAATGTGATCCTTATTTGTCTTTTCTTATATAATATACGCTACTGTTAACATGATAGATGCTTTTTGGGAAATGTTGAGAGGAGCATCTGAGGCTGCTCTAAATATTCTGTTTTAGGCTCTTGGCTCAATGTGATGTCAGTGAGAGGATGCGAGCAACAGGGTCATCTCAGCACACAGCTCTGGCTGCAAGAAGAGCCGGTGGTGTTCGAATCTTTTGTTTGGGAGGGGAAGTAAATGCAAAGGCAGAGGAGCAACTGGAGCTACCGAAGCAGCTTGCTGCAGACAGCAGACAATGAAATAACATCTGGTTACAAGAGGTAGTGAGTTGAGTTTCTCTCCGTCTGTTTCAGCTAAAACATATCAGGGGTTAACTAACTCATGACCAGGGTCTACAGGGGGAGAAATGGAGGATGGAGAGCTGGTTGCATGGATTTGGCAGTGAAATGAAAGGAAGCAGCTGACCGAGGCACCCTGGCGTTGCCACTGTGTTGAGCGTGACAACAACTGACGTTAGCTATTTGGCCAGTTACGTCCAGTTCACGGGAAACAAGCAGAACAAAGCATCACTACGATAATGTAATAGTTTGATCAAATTGATGATGCGATTTTGGTTTTGTGAGACCGAGAAGAAAGACAAAAACCAATCAAAGAACAGGAAGGTAAGAGAGGCAGAGAGCCAGACGGACATGTGGACTGAAATATACTGTCTGAGTTTATTCCGCCCAGGAAGCTTCTTAAATTAAAACGAGAGATTCAAAGACTGAACGATGAAAGAAGGAAGAAAAACAGGGAGGAAATCCTAATCCAAATCCCTTCAGTTTGAATGGGCTGGACTGTATGGATGGATACTAAAAGAAGCTGAAATGAACATTTAAATTGAATCTAAATGCACATTAATTAGAGTTTTAACACATGGGTTATTAAGATAAAAGCCAATCAGCTCCTAGTGTGGCTATTAAGTTATTAATTTTTAAAGCTCGACTCTCCTCAGGTAACAGCAGCAGTTGTTTAAGCTGGAGAGGATCCTGCACTCATCCGTAACAAATGATAAACTTCTTTTAATTCAACGACATGCACCGTTAGCCTGGAATTCCAAAATAACTGTAGAGTGTTTGAGCATTCTATTTGTTTAGCACTGATACTTTAGCAGCATTAAAAATGTTCCATTTTCAAGAATCATTACACACACAAAGTGTCATGTTCCTGAGTCCTGGACCGACGGTTTTAAATTTAAGACTGATTCTTGTTTGTTTAATATTCCATTTGGGTTTTTTCTTTCAGTTCCTGTTTATACACATTAGCATTCTGGTAAACATCACTGGAAATTTTTATGTTATCCTTCTACCACATCCCTCTTGTGTCTTTCTGTGTCAAGTTTAGGTGTGACAGAATCTTAAATCTGGGTGTAGCAGGTCACCTATTTTATTTTGGTAGTCTTTTGTCTCCTGTGTTTTGTTACGCTCAATTACTTTCACCTGTTTCCTCTCATTAGCCCTCAGTGCGCCCTGTGTCCTTGAATAAATTAGCAATGTGTTTCATTTGTTCATTGTCCTGTTGTATTGTTTCCCCCATGTGTTGTGGATTTTTGGCACTTTGCATTTTGGCCTCAGTTTTAGATTTATGTTTTGGACTTATGAGCCACGACAAAGACGGGGCTTTTGTTTTGAACTCGGCCCCTCTGTCCTGCATTCAGATCTTGAAAATGAGAAGAGATTTCAAGAATATTCCTCACGTCTATTAAGCATCACTGTCAGCATCCAGAGAGCTGAGTCGAGTGACGAAAAGAGGGAGACAGCGCTCATCTGTCTGTCTGTGTGTGTGTGTGTGTGCTGGGGTGATGACCTCAGCAGCACTAGGCTTAAAACAGCCTGCATCTGGTCCTCTCTGCATTTGCTTTATTGTCTGTCTCTCCAGCCAACTGTCAACTAAATTTTAGAAAAGGAGGGACTATAAAATCTGACTGGATGGGATGATGCCAGACGAAGAAAAGAAAAAAGTAGGAGTTTGTGCCAGTACATTTTTTGAAATGTAATTTGTGGCAATCAGAAGACATTTTCAATAACTCAACAAATAACTAAACTCACCAGACAACATAAAATCCATGTTATTACTTTCATTACGCAGAAAATTTCATTACTGGAAATATTTCTTCTTCTTAAATTTGTCATTTCAAAACCAAATTAATCTTTTATTAGACTAAAGCAGGGGCGGGGAACTCAAGGCCTCAAGGGCCGGTGTCCTGCAGGTTTTAGATCTCACCCTGGGTCACCTGAATCAGATGATCAGTTCATTATCAGGCCTCTGGAAAACTTCAGCTGTGTTGGATCAAGGCCACATCTAAAACCTGCAGGACCTTGAGGCCTAGGGCTCCTCCCCCCCCCCGACTAAAGAAATCACTTTTTTGTCATTCATTGTATTTTGAACTAAAAATATCTTTTGTAAAGAGTAAAGAGTAAACACAGAACCTTTGTTTAAACCTGATAATTGATTAAATGCAACCTCAAAAACGCCCCAGAGTGCTACCAGTGTTCCCACTACCTCCCCGCTGGGGGTGTGGCCTATTCCCTCAAAAATACGTTATTCTCATGCACTGTTTCATTTCAGCGCAGTGTGTCACTCTCACTGCTTTTGCTGACATTTATGGAGGTGAACTGTACTCTCCCCAGCTCGGCTCACAGCGTTAGTGTTTATGGGACAGTTGAATTAATTATACTGCATTACACTAAGTGGAATAAAAGCTTCTCAATAACTGTCAATTCGTCTAAAATAACTATAGACTGACTATCGATTTCAGATTTGCGTTTGGGAAAAGTGCTTTCCGTTCGCTTTTATCCCTTCGCAAGACAAACTGCAATGTAGTGTGAGAGGGAGAGAGCATAAGCAAAAACATAAGACTAATCAGGGCAAAAACACAATCATATGACTGGATCTTCTGCAGCTCATGCCAAACTTGTTAATACAGTCAGTAAACAAGGGTGAGGAGGAGTGGCTCACAGCGGAAAATAGAGACAAGAGGCAAAAACAACAAACGAGACGGTTAGATACAACATAAATGGGACCAACTGGTTTCCTACCACTCTCAGCTGATGCACCTGCAGGTACAGACTGAGCAGAGAATGCATACTTACACTAGTAACTCGTCTGTAGATCTGGGCAGCGTTTTGGCATTCGGAGTAGGGGTACTCTGAGGTAGCCATCTCCAGCATACACATCCCAAAAGCATAGACGTCTACAGATTCATCATACTTTTCCTCATACATCTCTGGAGCCATAAACTCTGGTGTACCTGGTGATTAGAAAGTGGAGAAAAACATGTATGTTATGCTAGGACATACTCCTACCTAACTTGCACACCATGATGTACAAATACTGTATAAATGATAAAACATAAAATCAGAGATTGAAATCTAATAAACTCCAGCTGGAAATAAAAGGGCTAAAATTTCAAACCTGCATCCACTTAGTGCTGCCACAGACTCAGTTTGTGGAAGTGAAGCCTGAATACTTGAGGTTTGCCTAATTGCTACAAAGAAGCAGTGAGATTTACTGAGCTTCTCATTCTTGTCTCAAGTGCAGAGAAGAGTGTATATTTACGTACTTGGTGCGAGCAGAGCTTGAATACCTGTGGTCAGCTGTACAACAAAACTACTGAAAGGTACCCGGGTTATTATGAGGGAAAACTGCAGACTCAAAGTATGTGTCATAAACATTGTCCGAGTGCGGTGCACTTTCGGTTTATGTGTTTGTAACGGTTACATTTCCAGACAACTGAATCCCAACTTACTAACAGTTTCTTTGGAAGCCGTATCACTTTTCACATGCCTGCGGTTAGCTTTAACAACCAGACATTTTTCAAGTAGTAAAATTTATCTACAGTGGGCGTGTACATAATGTGCCTATGCATGTAAAGTGGTTATTATCGCCGCAGCGAGCTCAAATAAAAGATCCCAGTTATTTCAGTTTCGCAGCCTTCGCAAACCACATTTTTGTGTCTTAGCATTTCTGAGAATTTGGGATGCTGCGTATGCACCGTCCTACCTATTACGCTCTTGGCAAAAGAGGCTCTCTTCAGCGTGGCCAACCCTAGGTCCCCTATCTTCACCGAGCCCGTGGGCCCTGTGATAAAGATGTTGTCGCATTTCAGGTCTCTGTGAATGATAGGTGGCGCTCTGGTGTGCAGGAAGTGAAGGCCTTTCAGGATCTGTCTGCACCATGAACGCAGAACTTTGATTTTCATCACCTTGAATCGCTTCAGGTAGCTGCAGGACAAAGAAATCTCACATAAGAAACTGTGTGTTTTGCAAAGCAAGAGAAAGTGGTCACGATTATGCACACAGGAGGAGATTCAGCTCTTGTATCTTGTTCAAGTGGCCTTTGTCCCGGCACGCTAGCTGCCAGCATATGGCCTCTCAGAATATCACACTGTGTAAAACCACTAGCTACAGAAAATCACTTTTTTTAATGCAGCTGCTCTACTCTGCATAAAAAAACTATGAAAGACACAGCTATGCAAGGACCGAATAAGGGAGTAAAAAAGCAGAAACATGTAGTGCTGCACAGAAATGTCTGAAAGCAGCTGTAGAGTCAATGAGCAGCCAGCACTGATAATCTCTGTCTTTATTCAGCAGATTGTTATTTACTTGTTTTCTCCGAAGGCAACTATACACAGCAATCAAAAGGTTTCGACTACTGTCCCGTACATGCAACATGTGCCTGCACCGGCTTCTATGAATCGGGATTGTATCTTACGTTGCTTATAATTCAACCAGATCTTCTTCTGCATCAGTTCTTTTTTCTCTCTCTTCACTAAACTTGGAACACATCCCAGTGCGGAAAGCAGGGAAACACCCTTTGACAGGTTGCCAGGCCATCATAGAGCCAACTCAGATCCACACCTGTGGGTGATTGAGTCGATCCACCTGGTTTGTAAGTCTTTGGAATGTGCGAGGAAAATGAGAGGAAATTCCACAGGAATGTTACAACAAAACAGCAAAGTACTGTGAATCTAGACTGAACATTTCTCCTATTCTTAGCAAAGCACTGCACTTGATTGATTTTGTTTTTGATTAAATCAGAGGCAGTTCTTGTTATTTCCAAGAGCTCTAAGAACTCACTCAGAAAACATTTGTCTGTCTTGATTAGCTGACTGAAAATCAATTCAACTCTACAGAGAAATGTGCGTCTTCCTCTTCTTGGTATTGTGCCAAATGTGACCAATGAGCACAGTAGGTAGGGCGTACTCCTGAGATCAACCGCCCCGTGAGTCTTCTTCATGGTGTGCTAATTTCACAGCCTTAAAGCAGGCAGAGGAGCTAAGTAATCGTGGCTTTGATCTAATTAGTGTATTTAATTCAATATCCAAGCTTAGCTCAGAAATGTCCCCATGGATCTGGTGAATAGCAGGCAGCTGACTGAACTATAGACTGACTCTGCAAACAATGTTTCTGTCTCAGCCAGCAATGCCCTCTTCCAGCTCCACTTCCAGACAGCTGACCCGATGCAGAGCGACATCAATAAGTCTGACTCCAGCATTACCGTCAGCTCCACGGTGTCACTGGCTGCTCTAATAATTCAGCATCTGCAACTCCGTCCTAACTGACAAGTAATTCTCACATAACACCGTGTGAGCATTACAGCATAATAGAGCGGTGTGCTTAAGCCACATCCAGACTGCTGTGTTACAGCCACAGAGGCTCAACAACTTTTAGCTGTGACCCAGTATCTTTGACGGAGCAGAAAGCATCCATTAACGAGCAATGGAAAGTACACTCACTGAGTGCTGGGCTTAACTGAGCATTTTCGTTTGGTGCCACTTTATACCTCTACTCAACTTCTTCCCAGAGAAAAACACTGGATATTTGCATCCTATACTTCTTTCTAAAATCCTGCATGCATTCCTGAGGCTGCCTGGGGCCTTTCTTTGTGGAGTTTGCATGTTCTCCCTGTGCTTGTGTGGATTCCCTTCAGGTTCCCCAGCTTCCTCCCACAGTCCAAAGACATGCTGGTTACATATGTGCTTATAAATTGGCTGTAGGTGTGAATATGAGTGTGAATCTTTGTCTGTCTCTCCTATGTTAGCCCTTTGATAGACTGACTAAATCTTCCCAAGGTGCATCCTGTCTCGCGACAGCTGGGATAGACTCCACCCCCCTGTGAACCGGATAGATGGGTGAACAGATAGATGGCTAATTATTAAAAAACAACTTTAATTCAGCTATTCTGCTATATAGTAAAGTCTTTACCCTGATTTTTAACAATCAAAGTCTTCTATATGCTTCTTATTTTAATCCTCTAACCGCTTTTCTATGGTTTGTCATTAAAAGCCTTAAAAATCTGGGTAAATTCAATTTGTTTTTCACAGGGAGATGGCTTTCAGTGTGCAGAGCATAAATAATAATTTTAGGGACTATTAAAGTGAACAAACCTTAAAATGTGCATGTGAATAACTTAAGTTCTCTCTATCATACCGCATCTCTCCTGCTACCTCTGATGTCTCTCTTAAGAAGCCACACGCCTTATCCCCTTCTTCCCCCTTACCTAAGTCCCCTCCTCGCCCATCCCCTCTGCTTTCTTTCTTTTGTCGTTCTGAAGTCAGAACAGCTTTGAAAGACAGGGAAAATGCTGTGGCATGCAGAGTGACGCTGCAACAAAGCATCGAGCGAGCTTGCACGCTCACTCAGCCACGCTATGTTTCCAAGCACGCAAATTAGCACTTGTAGATACACGAACGTGCGGCTCTCACGAGCAGTGAATACAGTTTTTATTATTTGTGAACAGACAAGTATTCTTCCGAAAATAAACCTTTACAAAAAAGAAAGATGACAGCATTATAAACATTTCTTACACACACAGATGCACACAGAAAAGGGCACTCCATGGTGGCAAGTATTTCCATCCTATCTTCCTCCCCTATCGCCCCCACCCTCCCATCATCTCCCTTTCTTTTTCCATCTCTTCAGCGTGCAGCGGTCCCTCTCCTTTCTGAGTATTTTTCTGGATGATGGCCAAACCCCTCGGATGCCTTGATCCTCTTCATAAGGGCACATCCATCCGCTCCATATAGTCTTAAACAAAGAAACCTTGTTGTGTCGATCAACAAAAAGTTAATCAGCAACAATTTTGATATAAAATTATTCTTTTGCAAGTATTTTTTCCCCTCACTGGTTCCAGTTTTTCAAATGGGAGTGTCTTCTGGTAAACACGATGTTGCGTCTTTGTTTCAATATGTGCATAAAAACACATTAATGGAAAATTAAAGTAACCAGAATTGCAATCCTGATATCATGTATGCATCATGTATCTATAAGAGTTCAATGCACTGCTTGTTACTTGTTACTACTTTGGAGTATATTATAGTTGTTTGTCACACACACTTCTGGATCCAAGCAGTTTTTTGGATTTTCTGACTGAGGTCTTTTCTGAATATTTAATTTAATCATGTAAAATTCAAAAAGAAGAAAAAGGATACAGCTCTTCTTCTCTCTCTTTTTTCCTTTCTCACTCAGTAAGTAGTGGGAAGTTCCAAAAAAAGTTAGAAAATAGAAAACTATATTTGTTAAATGTGTGTTTATTCTGTGGTGTATGCAGAGGACTGAGCGTGTCTGCGCAGCTTCTCTGTTAAAAAAAAGTATGAAATTTTTGTAGTCCTCCAGTGGAGGGCGCTACGGTTCTTGTTAGTGCTGTTAGTGCTTTGCTCACAGGTTTGTCACTCTACCGAGCGGCTTTCAAACTGTACGTCTAAGTATCAGTTTGTCTATTCATCAGAATATTTGCGCATAACTCTCTCACACTGTAGTCTTCTGTCTCCCTCTCTGTCACTTTAACCTAAACTAAGTGGACGATGACCAGTGTCACTCCTGAATGATGTCGGGAATGAGAGGAATGTGCAGCAGAAGCAGCAGCTGGCAGGTGGGCCAGTGTCGCATGATGTACGCAGGCTGTGTCACCCCACGTTTAGCCTTCTGTTGTGTCAGGAGCTCAACAATAGCATTGACAAACACAGATGCACATCTATTCTAATCGGCAAAGAGGCTTGCATTCAGTCACGGCATGTGGGGTGACAGTCTGAGAGGCAGACACTGACAACTGCCCGTTGAGCTGGCAGGCCATCGACGTACAGTTTGTCACATATGTACGCTGAAAATGACCTCAAACACGTTGATGAACATAACAGTGTTGACACACCCTCAAACTTTTCAAATCCCAATCAGACTCACAGAGGCCCCCAGGCTGAGAGTGTAACCTCACAGGATCCCAACATGTGTTGTGTCCTTTGCCCTGATAAGATCGAGCCATTTTCAGCGACACGAATGGGACCACAGCAGTTTTATTCAACTGTTTGGTGTCCAAAAAGAGAAATAAATAAAAACTCAAAAACTGCATCAAAGTTTTGATGATTCTGCGTCATTTCACCCTTTGTGGTGATGTAAGTGACATAAATACCGTACTTAACACAGGCAGGCTGGCTGACTCACAGCTGCAATCAGCACTGAAACATCAGGATGTGAGGTGCTCTTAACAGTACTGTGAAAGGCCATTTGAACATATGAAAAGAGAGAAAGACTGCAGATTAGTTTAATAGCAAAGAGGACGACACGTGTGTGTTTTACATTTCAATGAAAGACTGGAGGTGAGTCATCATCTGTGCTGACAGTGCTCTTCAAGAGAAAAATGTCAGAATGGACTCTACTGTTAACATCACGCAGTTCACACCTTTCAGTCACAGCTATAGTTTTCAGTTCATGCACATGGGTCTGGTGTCCTAATATTTGGCTTCTCAGAAGATTCCTGCACAGCTTCTTAATCTTAAAATTCTATCCCTCATATACTCACGTTTTTAGCGTGCCAGATGTCATGAGCTCAGTGACGAGAACGATGCATTTCTTTCCTTTGCAGGGACCCTCCCAGGAGTCATAGAAGCGGACAATGTTAGGATGCTGGAGACCCTTCAGCATGCCGGCCTCCTCTTTGAACCGCTGACGCTCGGACTTGGACAGTTTACGATCCTGCAAACGGGACAGAAAGGGAAACTTGGTCACGTGTACACAAAAACCGAGAGAAACGTTACAACGTGAATCAGAAGGGAGGGAATGTTTTTTCTAAATTAATGCTGTGTCAGTAGTACAACATTATTACAGCATGTGCAATTACAATCAAATCAAGTCAGGAAGAGGCTCGAGGGCTGGAGAGGAGAGCTAATCAGAAGAGAACAAAGAGATTACGCAGAAACGAAAATGGGAGGGGAGGAGAATGACAATTCCTATGAAACATGACTCCATATAAGCTCAGAGAAACTGATAACAATAATCTTTTACACTGATGAACAGCAGCTGAACATACTGTACTGAAATACAAGTGCAGATGAAACGGGGGGGAAACCTGATACTATCCGAAAACCTTTCTGCATTACACTAGTAAAGGACAGGGATAAAAGAGAAGTGTCCTTTCATCTTAACTCAAAGACTCCACAAAAATCCATTAGACAGAGTGACGAACAGCTCCACACTCGATCTTCTTTTGACCTGAGCTGTGCGATATTTATTGGTGAAGCACTCTGTTTCAAACCAAAGGCTAATATTCACACCTGTGTTGCATTTATGTGTTCATGAAATTTTGCCAGCAGTCCTACATTTACAAAATTAGTCAGTGTTCAACCAATTGACAAGCTACTCGGGTGACTATTTTATTGGGAAATATAAAACTGTTAGGGTTAGAGGATGATTTAAAGAGAAGTTCATTGTCTGAAAACCCAGAACCAGAAAATCATAAGACGCTAACCCCCCCCCCCGATCGCTATCTAAGTGAAAATGGACTCAACTGCTGCAGTAAATGGCTTCTTGATAATGAACACACATCAAATCCTCGGCTTCCACCACCTACGTCATCATTGTTATTCTCAATGGGAATTGCAGTCTCCAGCGCTTGCACCAAGCTTCAGCTGTCTTTACCTGAAGTGGTAGCAGCCTCCCAGTAGGAGGTTGACCAAAACAAGCTGAGAAAAAAAAAAAAAGCCACAGTCTGCATTCCTCCCTCCTGTGGAATACTGGCTTCTCAGAAACATCCTCCACACATTTTAACAGGAATTCCAGCTCAACCACTGATACCTCAATAAAAACGCAAAAGTCAATGTTAGCAGGGGACCTGCTGTAAAAATCTTTAAGCATGCCCGCGTTTGTGCGTTTGTATACTGACAAATATGTCAGGAAAATCCTAAGTAGTTTACTAATAAACAAGTGAACGATCACTCTGTGCTGTCTTTTTGTTGTTATTGTCTTCTTTGGGCTCTTCCTGTCATCCTGGAGGGAGTTCTTCCACCCCACTGTCACCAAATCATTGCTCATAGAGGATCGTCTGACTGCTAGGGTTTTCACCTCACCACAGAAAGTGCCAAATCCATATTCACAAAATAAAACTAAACTAAATTGTTGCAATTTAAAGGAGTATATTATTTAGTAAATTGTGCTAGGCTTGTTTATCAATTTTAGTGGGAATGTCTAATGGTAAGCTTAATATCTGTGTGATTATTTGCTTTTGTCTGCATGTGTTTTGAACCGCTCTTCACCAGCTCTGTGTCTAACCATATTTGACACATTCGGCACATCGCTCCCCAAAAATAAACAAAATCACGGCTGCCTGACGACGATAAAATAAGGTGACGACATCTCAGTACTCACAGGATTTAGGCCCAAAAAAGTCTAAATTTCTCTAAATTATTAAGTCTGGCAGTTACAAGCAAGTTGAGCCAGATTTGGGAAGAGGATTAAAACAAATATGAAAGAGGTGCTCCAATTAACGTGGGACAAACAGAAATTCGTGCTTTGACAGAAAGTCGTGACACATCCAGGTCGTTTCATAACATCGGTGACCCTTTTAGAGGATGAAATTATGGGAAAGTGAACTGACAGATTGGTTTACAGATGAGCACAGAAAGAGCAGCAGGATTGACACACGGGGCTGCGTCTCCATCGAGGTGCAGACACCACAGTATACAGTCTAAAAATATAAGAAACGGCAGTGGTTTAGAGGCTATAGACGTCAGAGCTTAGACACCTACTCCCATAATGTTACAGGGATTATCGCCAAGGCAACCACTTTTTAAAAAGAGGTCCAATGAGGGCACATCATTCAACTCTTTTATTTTTTCAGTCCAAAACATCAACGCTGTCTTTCATAAAATGCTGTTAATCTGCTCTTCTTTTTTTCTAAGCTTTGTATTGTTTTATTTTAGTCCTCTATTTGAATATGAATCCGACCCAACACAAAACATCCAGTGCATTAGCAAAATCATCTGAGACAGACGAGACACTTGCCATCAATCATTCAAATGGTTTTAAAGCTTCAGTACACAGTCTGATTTGATAACAGCCCCACAAACCACCCCAAAAACCTTGGACACAGTGGCGCACCGGAAAAATTCCTGAAAATTTAAGTGAACAGATGGAAACTTTTAAATCCAATAAGTAGAAAAAGAAGTGCTGTATGGTATTTTAGATAAACTAATTTAGATTTTATGATGTTCGGAAATGTTATAAAGCTATTAGAAAATCTTGTGAGCTCCTTCAGAGATTAGGACAATCTCTGAGGTGATGATCTCATACTGTCATATTGTATAACCCAGGGCCTCATCTATATCATATGACTTCGAGAGTGAGAGGGGGATGTCGGAAAGGTTTAGTGTGTTTCTGAAGTGCATTAATGTGTGTCAGGGAGGGTGTGAGTGTTTTATGGCCTGTAACATCTTATCCCTTTATCCTGCAGCAACCATTTGCCCAGCGATAGCCCATTAGCAATCGACACACAAAACATCCATGTGAGTGCTGACTGTACCCCCTCGCTCTTCTATTATCTCTTTCCTATTATGATCACATGACTCCACGCTCACCATGGCCGTAGGTCACCTGACTGCCTGGAAGCCAGCATTCCATTTCCCAGCAGCACTTAGAAAAGACCCTGACCACTCATATCTCTCCTAAGACACCTCCCTCTGGGCATTAGAAAATTTACTCAGTCGTTGACTTAATCACTCATTCATGCACTCACTGTGTGTGTACTCGCATTTCTCACGAGTAAATGTGCAAAAACAGTCAGATTATAAGCAAGTGTGTTACATGTAACATGTGCTGCATAAGGTGAAGATTTGGTTCAAGGTCAGGTTTAGGGCGCTATGGTTATTGTTACAGTTAGTCTGCAGGAAATGCATCCAAGTCAACACGATGTTCTCTCAAGTAATGAAAACACAAGTGCATGTGTGCGCATTTGTGTCCACAGACATGGGCCTGAGAAAGCAGACAGCAAGTCTAATGGGGCTGCTAATCCATTATTAATGTTTCCTTCTTCGTTCTAGTGTATAAATGGACACACACACACACACATCTCTGATGCACATAGTAGTAGTGGCTCCAGCACTCTACTCAGAGACAGTGGATTTATATCTAAAAGAAGAGCACGTTTAAAATAAAACAAAGCTGGTGGTAGGATGCGGGTATTTAAGGAATAAATTTGATCCGGGACACATTAGTCACGTTGTTGGGGATGGATGTTTTCTCTCTCCCTCTCTCTCTCTTTATCCCTTCTTTTCTCTCCATGCTTCAAAACATCATGAGACTCGAGTTTGTCAGACTCAAAAATATCCTCGCTTTTCATTCAAACCCACATCTCTCTCTCTCATTCTCATACACGCGCATTTAAGCGAGACACGCCTCCACGCTGGAATCAGCAGCCTCTTATCTGACACTCACACACACACACACACGTACAGGTCTTTTTAACATAAGGACTTCTCACCCTCTAATCCCTGCATTGTAATCTTACTGTGTTCCCTTAGCCTATCTGACAACTTGAAAGAAGCCACGTATACACATCCCTGCATAAGGTGACAGCACTAAGTATGCCTGCCCTATTTGCACAGCACATGCACTCACATACAGCCAAGGCAGTCCAGACAGGCTGGCAGAAACACAACCTGCAGTGTTACAGTATTAAGCAGTTTCCTGCAGAGATGCTGCAAGCTGATACCCTCTGATCGGCTAATTTAGCCTGGACATCCCTCTGTGCTTTAACACTATGATCATGTGATATGCTCCTCTCTGGTCTGTTGCACCCCGACAGGAGATCAACACCCGCAGCACCAGATGGACCGAACAAGAAAACAACGCGAAAGCCAGGAAAGCACGACGTGACTTTGTCGTAAATTTGTGGTATCTTCTTCAAACTTACAGGATATTGTTTAAGTGGCTAATCCCCATGGGGACAACAGATGCCTAAATATAGCGTAAATGATTACACGATTACGTGATGAGAACTGTTTCTCAGGCTTTACATTATATAACAGCAATTTTATTAAGTTTTTCTTTTTAATGAAAAGGACACAAACATAAGGAAAAGAAGGGAAAGACACTGTTCTGACAGTTTAATTGGTTGGGGAAATGCTAAACCATCAGGAACTTCAACTGTTTCACCAGCCAAGACTTGTTACATATCTGTTAAAGTTTCTGATCCTACCAGGTGTTACAGGGAATTGAGATCAGGGTATTTCCCAGTGATTTAAAGAAAAATCTGTTCCTGATTCAGAGGAAAAATACCTGCAGGACACCAAGATTTTTAGTGTGTGTGCGTTTATGGTGTGCGCTTGTGAGTGGCCAGCAATGCTTTCAAAAACTAAAACAGACAGGGCACAAGACTGTCCAATCAACCTCTCTGTAATCACAGGAAACCCTCATTTCTGTAGAAAACTACAGGAAAATGTAGAATTCATCAGCAAAATGATAAAGATGCAACTGTAAAATGAAAAAGTACATTATTATACATGGTTAGGATTTTATCAATGGTATACTGATGTTCACTGAGTGAATATCAAATATTACACCAGTTTAATGTTGCAAAATAAGACCAAAAAAACTAAAACACTAAAAGAAAAAGGGGATTTTGCACGGCGTGCCAAATGAACCGAGTTATGTTCCAAATATTGCGATGACGAGCAAATTGGCAGATTCCTGTAGGCTTTGGG